TTGTTTCTATATTTTAATTTAAAAAAATCAGTTGTAACCTTCCCCTGTAATTTTTATTTTTATTTTTTAGGAAATGCATAATCTAAATTGGAGAGATTTATTGAAGAAAGCCACGTATACAATTTGTCGTAGCGTTTAGCAGATTGACGATGTCGAATGCTTTGGTTGTCAATTAGGGCCTGTGGGCGCGTGTTTACTTGGAATTCTGTACTTTCGCGAAACCCTGGTCGGTTTTTTGTTGTTATTATTATTATTATTATTATTATTATTATTTATTATTATCATTATTTGTGTTAATGATTACTATAGTAAAGTTCGATTGATTTGAATATACTGCTTTGTTTGGACAGAGGTTTTTGGAAATTTGAAAATTTTGAAAAATTAAAAAGTTAGTATTTGATTTGATATTTTTGTGAAAAAAAAAATATATTTGATGTGATATTTTCTGAAAAATAAATAGTATCAAATGAATGAAAGTGTGTTGTGTCAACGAAGCCGTACATGTACTATAAACCATAGAAAGTATTTTTCCGATAAAAAAAAATGGTAAAGAGTATCTTTTAAGAGTTTTGATAATACTAATCAATAGTATTTAAAAATATATATATCTAATTACATAATTGTTTTTTCTTCCAAACTATGGTACGGTTCAAAATTTCGGTTTGAATTTGATAAGAAAAGAGAAAAAAAAAATTCCCAAATTTACTCTCACTTACTTTTTATTACTAACTTTGGCAAAGTCAGCAAATCAATATTTAACTATTATATTTTATTAAATACTCGTTTACAACAAATATTACTATTTTTATTACTCTATTTTTCTTTATCATTTTTTAATTTCTAACTAATTTTTTTAAAAATACCCTCAATTATTTTTACTTTTATCATATTTTTGATAAATTATATATATTTTTTTAATCTCCATATCAAATTCAAATATTCTAAATTTAAGAGATGAAGTATATTCTTTCTTCTTCTTCCAAACCTAAATAAATCTAACAGTTACACAGAAAAACTGAGTGAAGTAGTTTGGCAAAGTGCCTATTTTAGAAGAGATTTTAATTCAACCAACAACTTTGGTACCATAGACATCGCCAATTCCATATATAAAACATTAAAATCCAACAAATTAAATGTCTGAACAGCTTACCTACGGTAGTATTTACTCACCCTTACCCTTGGCCGCTCGTAGGTTGTGGTCGGGGCACATTGCTCATTAAATATATTTTTGAATGCTGCGATTCGGTGTTGATCCAATCAAATAAGTATGATGCTGAGCCAATCAAATCAACATTGTGCTAATTTTATTGGGTCAGGATATCACAGGTAACCAGTATATATTACTCGCTCCGTCCCAATACAATAATAGTCTTGTTTACCATTTTTGTCCGTCCTAAAACAATAGTCTTGTTTTCATAAATAACTATATCACCATAAAACTATTCATACTTTTTCATTTTTATTACACAATTGTTACTACTTTTTACACTAATACATTCACAAGGACAGAAAAGTCATTTATCGATACTTTTTACCAACTACCTATATAATATCAATATTCTTTAAATCTCGTGTCCAACCCAATTAAGACTATATTTATGGGATGGAGAGAGTATATATTTTATAACATATTTTACGATACTAACATATTATGTTATAATTCAGCATATGATATCTTATAACACAACATACACTACACTGATTACTTTAATGTGATATGCTGAACTGATCAAATCAACACCATATTGATTTGATTGAGTTAGCATCCGATCCATTTTTCGAGTTAATTAAGTGTATGTTCAATTATTCAAGGTTTGGAACTGGAAATTAAATTTTAAAAAGTTAAAAATATTTATAATTCATTCATAATTTGAAAAGTCTAATTAATTTTTTCTTATAATTTAGAAATGGCTTAACCTTCCATCTAGAGATGGATATATAAATTTTTTTAATATTAAGAATGCAATATATTAAAAAAATAATATTAATTTTAATAAAAAAAATATTGTTCATAATATAGGAAAAATAATAATGTAAGTATTGTTTTATATATTTATATTTTGAAAAACTAAATTAATTTGTATTTTATTTGTATTAGGTTTAATTATTTAAGTACGGCAGTATTTCAAAATTATTGTTCACTAAACTTTTTTGGAAATGACATTTCAAATTTTAAACGAAGTACTATAAATTTTTTAGCCGTAATACAATTATTATATCATAATTTACTATTATTTTTTTTTGTTAAAATAAAATTAGTGATAGCACGTACCACCAATTCAATAGTTTGGTAATTGCTATTGTTGTTCGTTGGTGTCTTTGCATGAGAGTTATGATCCAAATTCAATCTCGAGAGGGCTTTGTTTAGATAAAGATTTTTTTTGAAGTTTTTGAAATTTTGAAATTTTGAAAAAAATAAAATATTAATATTTGATTTGATGTTTTATGAGAGAAAAATTATATTTGATGGGATGTTTTTTGAAAAATGAATAGTATCAAATGAGTGAAGGGTATTGTATAAACAAAGTTGGAGTTAGTTTATTTAAAAATAAATAAATAAAATAAAATTCATGGAGGTATTGTCAAGACACGACATCAAAATGACATGAGATCGACAATGACTTTTCTATTGAATGTTTGAACAATCTTTTAAAGATTTTTCCATTTTGAAGCACCAATATTCTCAAAATGGAAGAAGTGGAACATCAAAAAATGTCTATGATCAATTTCTGTAATTGAGGGGCCATTTGGGATGGTTTTTTAAATTGGTAAAAGTAAAAGCAGAAATCAAAGGTTTTTGGAAATAAAGGGTTAATACATAAATTTTAAAGTATAGAAGAGAATGACGCTGAGTTTAAAAGTTACAAGTGGGATATAGACAGCTTTGACTAATTATGTGTAACGGGTGACACTCCGTCCTGCAAACATGCAAGCCTGGACGTGTCGGGATTAGACTAATCCCACATGTCATTATAAATTCTTATAGGGCGCTTCTGTCCCACTCAAACGTATCCTAAAAGACTTTCCAAGATGTCACATATCCTCAAATTATTTTAGAAAAAACATGCTTAATTTTAGAGTTATTTCAGTAAGGTTTTCGAAAAAGAATATGCACATTGTTGACACGAGTATACTATTCAATCTCGAATAGCCTGACACCGGCTCATTTACGAGAGTTGGCCTAGCATCGGCCTAACTCAAGGGTGTTACTTTCTGTCCACTTAAGAATGTAACGTCTTAATTGCACCCCAAGGATCCTTTAACTGCTAGGCCCGTCAACAACTATGGGTTGTTGCAAGTTGGCTTTGATACCAACCGTGACAACTCAGCCCGTAAGCCATGCAAAATCAGACATTTCAGGTAGATGGACTTTACAACGCGAGTCCTTTCAATGCACTTTTGTCATCACTCCAGTGTATTTAGATGTAAGTTTAGCTTCAATCTTTTATTTATATATATACATAGTTTTTATATAGCTATTATTAAATATCATATGTCATTCAAATTTATTTTTTTATTTTGTTGTCATCTAAATTCATTCTCGGTTTTATTTTTTAGTGAAAAATATCATTTTTTTTAAACTTTTTTTTACTCTAAAAAATTAAAATTTTTATTTTATCCATTTTTAAAATTTTGTACCTGGTCAAATGAGCACATAATTGGACTACAACGGAGTATAAAAAAATGAACTTTTAATTTGTGGATAAAATATAAATATATAATAAAAATAGTGCTGATCTCGACTGGCTCGGCATGGGCCGAACAGGCTTACTACAATACCTTATACGGCCCATAGACACCTGGGCTAACACTGCATTCTTGGACACATTAAAATTTGGGTCATATAAAATAATACTACCTCAAGTCCATAGGTTTGTTTAAAATATATTTTCAAAAGTATTTTAAAATTTTTGGTTTATTTTAAAATATTAAAAATTAAATAAAAATAAGAATTTCAAATGAATTGCACCAAAATATATTCGATCTAGTGCCTAAAATTTTCGTATTGTTCTTTATTACATGCAGTTTTACTTTCGAAATATCATATTCAATTTTTTTTAGGGGTGAGCATTCGGATTTTCGGTTCGGATTTTGTCAAATCCGAACTGATCTGAAAATCCGAAATTTTTGAAAAAACTAATCCGAACCGAACCGAAATCTGAAAATCCGTAATCCGAACTAAAAAATCCGAACCAAACCGAAAAATCCAAAATTCTAAATATTTTTATTATTATTTTTTATTTTTAAATTTCTGTTATATTTTATTATTATTTTATAATATTAAATATATAAAAATTAAATATATTAAAATATAATTAATAAATTTGAGTTTTTTATATTAAAATATAATATTTTCTAATAAAATATTAAATATATATAATAAAAAAATATATTAAAATGTTATATTTTGGATTTCGGATTGGTTCGGATTTTAGGTATACCGATCCGATCCGATCCGAAAATCCAAAATTTGTTAAAAATTCAATCCGATCCAATCCGGAAATCCGAAAAATCCGAACCAAATTTTAAATTTCGATTTGATTCAGATTGAATTTTTGGATTTCAAATATTTTGCTCACCCCTAATTTTTTTATAATCTTCACCAAATTTAAAGCTTTAAAGCATTTCTAAATACAATCACCTAAAAAATCGTACAAATATATTTTAGAACAATAGAAATTGCACGGACAGAGTATACAACATCATATCCAACATTTTATTTTTTTTCAAACATAATTTTTCAAAATTTGATAATACAAATTTTTTAGGGTGTGTTTATTTGGAGGATTTTCCCAAATTTTACTATTTGTTCAATTTTTTTCACCAAAAAATATCAATCAAACACCTGTTTTTTATTTTTTATATTATACTAAAAAATAATTTTACATTCAAACGATCACATCAACACTTATATATACCGCATCATACAATTATTCATATTCAAATTTTTTAATATTCAAATCTTAATCCAAAATCCAAAATCCAAAATTCCAAACAGAGACACTTGAATCATTCAAAAAATATATTAATCTTCTAATTTAGTAAATACAGCATCTATTATTTTTTTTATATTTTACCTAAAATTACAATAAAACTATATTTTCTAATAAATAGATACATATAAATATTTAAATTTTGTTGTGTGGAATTGGGAACCAATTGAGGGTGAGCTCGATTTCTCCACACTCGACGTTCCTAAGCCTTAGAAACATATGTTGGGTTAATTTACCATTTAACCACAAAATGGGGCTTTCTTCCGACAGCTGGCAGTTGGAGTTGTGTCTGTTGGGCTTAATCTTCTCTATTACAATACCGCTCGGGAGCTTATTCTCCAGCAGGTCCGGGACCTTCTTCTGCGCCTCCACGAATTCTTTTATGCTGAATTCCGCGTCACCCATTTTGTCATCTCGACTGAACGTGTCTTTGTCGTAAACTTTCTGCGCCAAAACGCCGAATTTATATGTAAGATCGGAGAGAGTATTAAAAATAATATTATTAAATATTATGTAAATATATACTTCATTCCTTTCGCAACAGATATCCCTTTTTATTTTTTTAATACGTTTTATAAAAGATGATTTATTTTTATTTTTGGTAATTTTATTAATTTTAAATATTCTTAACAAATATAAATCAATTTAATAAAACTTCTAACATATTGTTCGTAGGATCCACTCAAAATTCTATTATTTCTATTTCTCCTTAATTAACAAATATTTTTATCTATATTTAAAACTCCTCATTTTTTTTTATAAAACTAATTTATGGTAATGATAAATAAATAAATAAATATATTTTTTATTTATTTATATTTTATAAAATTTCCATATTGCATATATTTTATTGAAATATAATTCTAAAAATATTCAAAATACCAACAATACTACATACATAAAAAAAAAAATTAATAAAATATTATCTTAACTTATTATTAATAATTTAATAACTTACCCTACCTAAAATATGGCGTGTCTCTAACAAAAAAAAAAAAAGGGTTGAAGGAAATATTAAGCTATATTTACATATATTTTAGAATAACTTCTAATGTTATTATCAAAACTGATATAAATGATTATATATTTACTATTTTATTTTTTATTATAAATATTAAATTACAATAATATTTATTTACATTAAATCAAATATACATTTTAATTATACTTTTTTACTTTTTCTTTGAAATTCAAAATATTTCAGAGCATATTTAAGGATAATTTTATTTTCTGTACAAAAATATCACAAATATTCTTTTATTTTAGAAAAAAAGTTTATTATACAATTATTATAATAGTATATTATTTTTATTATAAAATATCATATTTAATTATTATTTAAATATAAAATGACCATACAAAATCACACGAAAATACATCTCAGGTGTTTTTGAATATTTTATATTTTTATATTAATATATTTATATGTTAGTTACGAAGAAGAATTATATAATACAACAAATAATATTTTATGTTAAATTATTAATTATTTTTAAATAAATAAAAAATATATATGTTTATTAATATTAGTTTATTATATAATTTTAATAATAATATTTACGGGATTTTCCAAAAAAAACAAATCCCTATTTCTTTAATTTTTTTTAGTATCTCCAAAACAAATATGTTTTCTTTTATTCCTAATTTTTTTCCAATTATTTTTTAAATTAAACAATTAATATTTAAATAGTATGATATTCTATGTATAAAAAACTAATATAATTTATTTTTTTAAAAAGAAAAAACAATGAAAATACAGCATACGTAAAGAATAAGATCGTTAATTAATTAAATAAATAATTAATTAATTACCAGTGTGATGGGGAGATTTGGATCTGAAACAGTGAGAGTGAGTTCTTCGTTCCACTCTGGATTCACATTCTTTCTCACCACACCGCTCCGAACTTTCTGACAATCAACAAAACCTTCCATCATCAATTTCTTTCTTTCTTCGAAGAAATCGAAAATAAATAATAGTAATTAAGATCAGAAATAGGAAGAATTGAAGGAGGAGATGTAATAATAAGACGAAACCTCGAACCTGTTTGCCTAATCTGAGAACGACATAGGGATCGCTGCTCCAGGTATCTCTTACAGCAAGGTTTATTCCTCTCATGATTTTTATCCTCAGCAGACCCACCACGTTTTCCATTTATTTATTTAATTTTGGGGTGAGGAGAGGAATCAATAAATTAAATTAAATTAAATTAATTGTATTGTCTCCTATTGCAGATTTTTTTTTTTTGTATTGCAGGTTGGGGGTGGAGTGAGGAGAATTCGGAAGTCCAGCTGGAGTGTGCCAATTCTTAACAGCGAAGGGATCGGGCTGGTCGAGTAGGCGCGTCTCGACACGCGCTTTGCAGGAGCGTGTATACCACGCGCTTTTGCTGCTTTAAGGAATAATGTTGTAATAGGAGTAGTATGTTCTAGAAACGCTGGAAGTTTGGTTTGGTTTGACTTATGCACCACAGCATAGGCCGGCTGCCTAATGTATTGCAACCTCCGTCTTAAGAATGTTAATATAAATACAAGAATTTAAATAAAATATAATTAGTAAATAATTAAAAAATATATTAATAAAAATAATTATAAATTAAAATTAAAATAATTTAATAATTTAATTAAAATTAAAAAAATTATAAAATATAGGATTTAAAATATAATTAAAATATATAATTATATTTTTAAAAAAGGAAAGGATAAGTCATGTGAAATGAACCAAAATAAAAAATAAAAATAAATTATGTGGGACGGAGGGAGTAGTTATTAGTCACTCGGTCATGAAATTTTAGAAATATTAGTATTATATTAAAATATAGTAAAAATAAAAATAAAAAAATTAAACTGTCTTTATTAGTATTCTATGATATAAAAACAATGATATTTGTGTAATATATTATAAATTAAAAGGATATTTGTAATGCTAGGTACATGGTATAATTACTAAAAAAAAAAAAAGAAATTGATATTTTATTAAGGGACAAATTAAAATAGAAAAATGAATATATTATTAAGGGACAGAGGATATATACGTTATTACCTCCATATTTTGAGAGTCCTATTTATTTTTTTTGTATTTTGATATTTGAATATTAATTATTATATCAAAATATAATAGGAGGTTGCTTCGCCTATCGTATATTCTATGTTGGCCGGCTTGAAGACATCAGAGAAATATTTTTATTAGTGTCTTTTAATATTAATATAAATATTTGTACAAAAAAATATACAAATATAAAAATAATTTTAATATTAGCTGTAATGACGCAAAATGTAAATATGACCGCTAGATGCGGACGAAAATAATACTTCATCCGTCCAGTTAGAAAGTATACATATTTCTATTTTGGGACGTCCAATTACAAAGTAAACATTTCATTAAATACCTCATTTTTTTTCTACAAATACCCTTAATCTACATCACATCATTACTTTTACACCAAAAAGTAAGGGCAAAAATGTTATTACACTACTTTTAACTACCCACTATAATTAAAATACTATTATTTCTTAAATACGGTGTCAAAAGTAAATGTTTACTTTTTGTACGTGGACGGATGAAGTATGTCATTACCAAACTGACCCCTTCATAGTCACTTGGGGTGTATTCGTTTGTAGAATTTTAACAAAATTTTACTATTCATCCAATTTTTTTCCTCAAAAACATCAAATCAAACACCTATTTTTCATTTTTTATATTATACTAAAAATTAATTTTACATTCAAAACATCACATCAACATCTATTTATATCACATCATATAACTATTCAAATTCAAAATTTTTACTATTCAAATCCCAACTCAAAATCCAAACCCCCCAAACAAACACACCCTTGGCGTGTTTTTTCTTTTGGGTGTGTGACAAGAATTAGATTTGGGAAGATTTTGTTTAAATTTGAATTTAAAATAAATTGGAGAATTAAATTGTTCTTTGGCTTTATAGATTTGATTTGGATTTTATAATTATGATGAATATTAATGTGATAAATTTATAGATTTTTCAATATTCATCTCTTACCAAATGATAAAATTACATAAAAACAAAGCCGAAGTGACAAAAATAGTAATATTATGTTACATGTCCACTTTGTTATTGGGCCACTCTATAGAAGGTACTTAAGCCCATTATTGATTATTATTCATATTTATTTATTTTGTTGCCCATAACAAATCAATCCGTTTGTCACAATAGAAAGCACAATAATAATAATAATAATAATTATTATTATTATTATTGATATGCAAAGAAGAAAAATAATGGCAAGAAACATGCTTATAGTTTATAATTGATAGTGGAGCAATATTTAATTATGTGGAATTGATGCACATATCTTACCTTTACAGCTTGAATTTCACCAATATTATGTATTTTTATATTAATATATAAAAAGTGTTAAGGTATAGTTAGTCTAATAGAAATAGAAAAAAAAAATAAAAAAAAATAAAATATACATATATATACATATATAGTAGGTGGAGCTAGGTGTATTTAATCCTTTTAACGTGTTTTAGATTTATTATTATTTTTATTATTTTTTGAAAAAAAAAATGATTGGAATAAATGTGATATTTTAAATAAAAATAAATATCAAATATAATTTTTTTAAAAAAAAAAAACAAAAAAATATTTTACACATATTGTATAATTAAAACCAAGAAGACAAGTTATTTATGAAATTTTGAATTTTTTTTTGCTACATCAAAGAAGTTTTTATCAACAGCCTTATATTGATTTGTAATTTAGAAATGAAGATCAATTATATATAATACAAATAAGTGTTCGTTTATTTGATGTTATTTTTTAGGATTTGTTTTTTATTTTATCAATTTTAAATAGTTATTAGATGTTAATTTTAATTTTATGAAAGTAGAACAAACAATATGTATTTTATAAATTGTTAGCATGTGTCCTATGTTCTAGTTTATATATGTATTGTGTTCATATAAATTTTATACTGCAATCAATTATAACATATATTGTGCAAATTAATGTCATTGACTTATTTTTCATGTGTTGTTGGTGAATATTTTTTATGCAGTTTGTACAGTAATATCAGTCTATAGATTATTTTAGTATTCTGACTATTTTTTATTTTTTATTTATTTTTTTTTTTTGTGTTGCTAAAACATTATTATATTTAAAATATAGTGTTAATCAATATTGGTAATGTAATAACCCAGAATATACCTCTAGTTTAATGTAAATTTATTCAAACAAGTAATATCTTGAAGATTCACTTGTCTCAAACCACACATGCTCTCATTAATGTTAATTTTATTATTGTTGGAATTGTTGTACTATTTCGGGTTTGTTTGGTTGTAGTTTAAAATTGATTTGAAATAAAAATGTTATTTAAATGTATAGTATTTTATGTGATATTTTATGAGAAAAAATATTATTCCCTCCGTCCCATAACAAAATATCTATTTTTCCATTTTAATACGTCTCATAACAAAGTATTCATTTCTTTTTTTTTTTAGTAACTGTACTATCTACCTAACATTACAAATACCCTTACAACTTACAATATATTACACAAATGTCATTACCTTTATATCACACATACTAATAAGTTTATTTTAGTCATTTATACTTTATTCCTACTATATCCCAATATAATATTAATATTTCTAAAACTACGTGCAAAAAGCAGATAAATACTTAGTTTTGGAACGGATGGAGTATATTTTATTATAAATATACAGAGTAGATAGTATAAATTCCAATTTAAAATCAAGAAAGAACAAATCATTCATATTCTTTATTAATTACTATGATTTACTTGTTAACATATTTTATAGTTTTCATTAATTTCTATTTTGACAATCAAATTGTGGTTAATGGCTTGTAAATTACATTAGCAAAATAAATCACACTTAGATAAACCATAATAAACCATGTATGACAAAATATATATTTGGAATAGACAAAGAGAGTGTGATATTTTAGTACAAAAGAAATGTAACAGACCAAAAATAATTAAAATATCATTATGTTATGAGATTCACATCTGATAAAACAAATTTGTTGAAATGGATATCTTGATACTTTTATGTAAAACAATTGAATATTTTATTGGTATTTTAATTAAGAAAATGTATCTATTATTTGTGAATGTTCTAAATTGTAAAAAATGTCTATTATTTGTAGATTTATGGAGCATTTGTTGTTGTTGTTATTATTATTATTATAAATTCAATCGAACTGTGTATATATATATATATATATATATACACATGTAAGTACACATTTTGAGCTTATATATGGCGAAAGTAGAGGTGCAACATCCTCTCCCATTCCAAAAGGGCAAATCCTATTTGCCTGATTCACTTCCACGTGCCTTTTCCCATTACCCCACGTCACACACACATATAGGCAAAATATAAGGGGTATTTTAATGTTAGGGTGCGAATACTTTTCTAAAATAAAAAATAGATATTTTAGAGTTACACATATAAAAATAGTAACAATAGTGAGGTGAAACGAATGAAGTATTAAATATTAATTTATTTTGGTTGAATTGTTCTTTTAGCCTCGTATCTAATTTCTTTTATCCTTCTAGAACTCTAAGTTGACTATATCTGAAAATAGTCTCATAAATAAAAAATTTCTCTAAAATGGTCACCGGTGCCGGACTCGCCATGCTGGCGCCCGCCGTTGCTGACGCGACTGACATGTCATTGTCACGTAGATGTCACATCAGTTCTGTAAGTAAAAAAATTTCGCTAGAATGATCCTTTGAAGGTGGCATTTACGTGGCAATGACATGTCAACTGTGTCAGTAACAGCGGGTCAGCGTGACGAGTCTGGCACCAAATGACTATTTTAACGAAAAAAATTTACTTACGGTCTATATTTTCAGACATGGTTTACTTAAAATTTTAAAATGATAAATAAGTAAGATACGAGACTAAAAAAATAATTTAAGGGATTAAATTTATTATTTTAACAAAAGGTTAAGAGGGTACATTGAAGAAAAAGCCCAAATGTGTATGTGTATGGGTGTGACCGAGTTGGAAAACCAAAGAGCACTTAATCACCAATCCTATGTAAGTTTTGGATTTGGCTGATGATTGACACCTGTCTCTATCTGAAAGTGCAATCTGATTGGATTCCTTAATACGAGGAACCAACCACCCCTCACTCACTTTTAATTAATTAATAATTAATAAAGATTCTTATTGGTTTACGAATCTTAATCACGTGGCTTCCACCAATAGGAATACGACTTCGCAGACAGTTACTATAAACTACTATAATCACTGTCTCCATGCGTGGATCGTACGGCCTATCTATCTATCTCTATATCCATATTTTTTAATTATTATTATTATTATTATTATTATTTATTTATTTATTTTAACCTATGTATGCATTTGAATGTATGTATTTTCAAATCTACAATTTTATTGGTTATAACTTGGAAGTTCGATCTAACGAAGTAATGTTTAGTTTGTGATTAAATTATGGTAAAAATATACTCCCTCCGTCCCATGTAATATAGGTGTATTACTGTAGACACGGGAATTTATGTAAACTATAATCAGTAAGTAATTAAGAAGTGTATTAGTAAAAATAATTATAGATTAAGATTGAGATAAGTAAATAGTTTAATTAAAATTAAGAAAATTATAAAATTTAAAATTTAAAATGCAATTAAAGTGCATAATTATATTTCCAAATAGAAAAGATAAGTTATGCGGGACGAACGAAAATAGAAAATTGGAACAAATTATATGGGACGGAGGGAGTACCGTATAAGTAAAATAATTTTAAAAATTTATATTTTAGTATAAATATCACCAACCATAAGTAATATAAATAAATAAAATATCTATACATAATTAGTTTTATGAAAAATAGTTTATAAAATATATATGTAAATATATTATTTATTTGAGAGCATAGTCTACTCTCTCAACTATCAATCCCAATTGAAAATCAAATTAATCCCTAGTTCCCTCATTTCTATTGCTTTTTTTTTTTTTTTAATAGTATTTTTTATATTTAATACTCTATCTCTTGTGCAAATATGTGTTCATTTGATCGAGTATGAATTTTAATAAAAGTGAGTAATAATTGTTATTTTTTTTCTTTTATAGTAGAAAAATACATAGTGTAATATTTTATTTTATTTTTAAAAGAGAATTAATATAAATTTGAATTACAAAAAACATAATTATTTTCATCTTAAAATTATAAAAATAAATTATATTAAAAGTGACTTACATGTTTTTTTTTTTTTTATATATCTTTGTGGGCGCGTGTGTGACTCTAATTTAGTTTTAAAATAAAAGATTTATGTACTTATGTTATGTTATAGTACTTTTTTTATCGATGTATATATATATATATAATATGTGTATATAGTAAAACACTTTTAAAAGTTATATATTCAATATATATCTTATACTTAGAATGTTGTATTTATTTAGCAGATATTTTCAAATCCCTTATTTGAGTCTATTATCTTTCTTAAAAAAAATTAATTAGTATCAATTTTTTATTCAAAAAAATATTATATAATATTTAATTTTACAATAATTAATTTGCGCTTAAAAGACCATATTAACAATTAATTTTGTATTTATTAAAAAAAAATCAAATTTAAAATAATTCAAAACATTCTAAACATATAGAAATTTATTCTCACAAGATATCACATCAAACTATTTCATCTTTTATCCAATGTATTATTTATACTATTTTCACCCAAATATGTGTATCATTTTTTTATTATAATAAAAAAGTACATACTAATATTAAAATATTTTAAATTTTTGTAAATAAATTATAAACATGCAATTAATTTATATATAAAGTATAAATAAAAAAAAATTGAAATATTTTTATATTGTCTATTTAACTAACAAATTAGTATTTTTTTTTGTCCGTCTCTAAGGATTATATTTACCTTTTGCATTATCATACTTAACATTAAAAGTATTCTTATATTTGTATAATTTTTTTATAAATATCATTATATTAGTATTATAAGACACTAATACAAGTATTTTTGTAATATTTTCTTAATTTGTACTACATTTTAATATGATAATTAACATTCAAAAGATCAACGCGCAAAGAGTAAATATGACCCTTAGAGCCGGACGGAGGAAGTATTATTTTTTTTATTTACTCTATATATATATATATATATGTAATGAACACATTAGATAGTATTAAGTTTTGTTTGTTTAGTGTTCTAGTTTGAAAAACTTTCTTGTGTGTGAAATATGAATAATCATATCGTTAATATAAAAAATAAAATTGTTGTTTTTATGAGATAATATAATATAAATGTTATAAATATATATATTAAGAATCGTGTAAGCAAGCAAAGTAGATTGGGTGAACAAATCCATACTCCCTTACTCTTCAAACTAATATCTTACTTTTTTTTATTTGAAAGGTACAATAACTATTGTCTCATATAACTTTTTATATAAAAATTTTACTTTTTTACTTTTCATTCATTTACTATTTTTATTCTAATATGCTTACTTTCTTTACCTTACTACAAAGAGTACAATTGTCAATTAATAATAAAAAAATACTTATCTAAAAAATTATGCAAATATGATTCAAGAAAATAGAATTTGGACAGAGAAAGTATTACTTATACCCAATAAAAATTTAAAGAGATTACTAAAACATGCTACATGTTCAACAAATTTCACCTCAAATTAAACAACAAATTTCACCTCAAATTAAACAATAATAGTTTTCACATATTTCAACATATTTTCCTCACTGTCCAACGTAAAATGATATTAAAAAATTCATGTATAGTAATTAATATAAAATCTTCTCTTACAGTGAAAAGATAAACTAACTAAAATAAAGTCTTAAAAAAATAAAAAAAATAAAAAATCCTCGACAGAAGTGAGAATGCCATAAAAATAGGGGGAAAAAATGGCACAAAGTACTTTGGTGGTCAGTTTAAGGTTTAACGTTACTTTAAATGGGAATAAAGTATTTCCCATTATAGAAATATTAAGGAAAGCGTCAGTCTGCCCGCGTGTCGATAAATTATACGGCGACGGCGCCACTGAACTACCCGCCATCGAATGACATATTTGCCCCCACCTTAATCTCGTGGCCATCCTTTCCAGGGGCAAATTCGGGAATCAACATTTGTACAGTGAATTTCTTCATTGTATAATATATAAGAAAGGCCTTGACTTCAACATCCTTTCCTCCTCTATCATCTCAACACATATATACATACATACATATATATATATGTATATTTGTGTGTTCGACCTATCAAATTTTAGACTTGGTTTCTAAGCTCAACAGAAGTAACTTTTTTTTTTTTTTTCTATTTTTCTAGGTTTGGTTGATTGAGGTTTTGTGATGAGATCAATCTGATTGGATCAGATCTGATAGTATGTGTGTTTTTGAATTAATTATTTTAATTTAATTTGATTTTTTTTTTTTTTTTTCAGGATAGAGAAACCCTAGAAATTAATCTTGTGAGGGAAGAAGATCGAGATGGGAAGAGGAAAGATCGTGATCCAAAGAATCAACAACTCGACGAGCCGACAAGTGACCTTTTCCAAGAGGAGAAATGGCCTGCTCAAGAAGGCCAAGGAGCTCGCCATTCTTTGCGACGCCGAAGTCGGAGTTATCATATTTTCGAGCACCGGGAAGCTCCATGAATACTCGAGCTCGAGGTTAGACTTATCAAAGTGTTTTTTTTTTTTTTTTTGCATATATAGTTAATTCGCGATCTGAATTTTTTGAGCTTTAGTTTTCTATTTGTATCTGAGGCAAGTTGTGGACTAGCTTCGGATACATCGATGTGTTTTTTTTTTTTTTCTCTTGGGCCCCGAAAAATAAAGGGACTTAGGATATATTTATTTTATGATTTATTTTTCAACTTTTTTTACTATATTATTCTTGTAATTTTCTGTAAGAATGTATTATTTTCAGTTGTAAAATATCATATCTAACTCACTATATATATATATATCAAAAGTCAAAAAAAAAAAAAAAAAAAAAGACCCTTTTATCATCGATGCACAAGGCGCTACTCAAATGTTTTAGATTTAAATTTTAGGGTCTGATAATGATATTGTGGCTGACATTGATTTTTAAGACAAGAATTTCATTCAAATCAAGATTGTGTGAGTTTTTTGTGTACTAAAATTTTATTTCCTCATAATGAAGAATGCTCAAATTTAAGGAACCTTTAATTTTTGCCCGATCTTGATAATGATTATTTATTCAAAAATAAACAGCAAAAGGATTAAGAAAAGAAAATAATAACCATTTAAAGGACCTATATTTATATCTATTTTCGTCATCACTTTCAGATAGCTTTTAAATTAAAATAATCTTATATAACCAGTACTAACCAAGTTATCTTTTATGCTTTTTATTTCAAGCAAAGTTTAAAAGAAGACTAATCTCTACACTATGGCAGTCCTAATGGTAATTCTGTGACAAAGAATGTCTAAATTCAGGCATCATTATTGAACCTTATATAAAGAACCAATCTACATGTGCTATATTTGTAGCCATGCATGGATTTATAGACACTAATGAATCGAAAACTCGGCCATAATTTGACGAATTAATTGGTAGGTGAAGATGTTTTTGTTTTTATTGAGAATCACTATAGTTGCATGCATTTAAAATAATAATAATACTAATAAACTAAAACTAAAACTAAATAAAATTCAAAAGATTTGAGCAAAATTCCGTGGTGTTTTTCAGTATTAAGTGTGTTTACTTGGTGATTTTTTTATTTTTTGTAAGCGGCAACATGACCTTACACCCACGATCCGTTGAGATTCAATATTTTCTTTTGTTTGATTCGTCCAAAAAAAAAGGGACTAATTATGAGTGTATTAGTTGGATTCCATTCATGCAATTATGTATGTTGTAGCTAATTGTAATTTTTGCGTTGTTTTTGTTGCACCATTGTCAGCATGAAATCAGTCGTCGAGCGATACTCAAGAGTGAAAGAAGAACATCATCAACTAGTTAATAATCCAGGATCTGAGATCAAGGTGCGAATATATATACACTTAAGTCTCACTTCTATTTGATTCGGATGAGCTTGTTGACTTTACATTTTTTTTTTTTTTTTTTTCTAAATTTTTTACCATTTAATCTCTTGTAGTATAAAACAGCTTTTTGGAGGGGAGGGGGGAGAATTTTGAGTTTGCTTACCCATTATTATTTTTTTCTCATATAATTTCCTATAAATGTTACCAAAAATACAGTATGTATTTATATTTATTTACAAAAAGTCAACAATTCAATATAAAATATTAGTATTTATTATATTGTCAACATAATTTTTCATATATAACATAAAAAAAAAGAACATTCCTTTTTTTTAAAAAAAATATCAAATTAAATACAAATATATTATCTTGTATATTATACTTAAAATAACTTTACATTCAAAATATTATTATGTCAAAAGTTTATTTATATCAAATCAACCACTTAATTCAAATTTTTACTTTTTCATATTTGAAACCCAACTCTGACCAATTTCTTTAGGGTGTGTTTATTTGGGGGATTAAATTTTAAATACACCATTCATCCTATTTTTTATCTCAAAAAATATCAAATCAAACACCTATTTTTTTATTTTTTTATATTATACTAAAAATCAATTTTACATTCAAAACATCACATCAACACCTATTTATATTACATCATACAATTATTCAAATTCAAAATTTTTACTATTCAAATCTCAACTCAAAATCCAAACCCCCGAACAAATAGAGTTTCTATCTATGATGGTTGCATGCATATTGTGGCTCCTACTTAGTGTTTACTAATATAAATGCCTAAGTTAAACAACTTATGGAAGTTCTTATAGTATGGCTATATATATATACATAGCTTTGGTTAGTGCAGCACATGAAAATATTATAAATAATATATAAAAATATAACATACATTATGTTTTACAAAGTATTAGGATGTACAGTTAATTATATTTTATATTTGTTGTTGATTTATAAATAATATGTTGTCTCGCATATATTATTACTATACTGACCGTCGTCATATAGAGATGCTTGATTATTATTATTATTATTATTATTATTATTATTATTCATTGAGTTTTAAATTTGTATGACTATATTTGATATTGTAAATCATATCTTGCTTTTTCATCTTGAAACTTCATATGGTTATTTTGTCTATGTATTTCAAGATGAAAAATACAAGATGTAGTAACTCACATAAACAAAATATGGCTATATAAATTACAATAAAATTGATATTGTGTCATATAAATGGCAATATATTTTAAATATATATTTTTTAAAAAAATAAAATAAAAAAAAACTTGGGCGTTGTATTCTCTTTGGAATTTTCTTTTTTCAATTTTACTTATTTTAAATATGTGTTTTGTTTTGTTTTAATTTGATTTTGGTTCAACTTTTAATTTAAATAGTATTTTAATTTGATATTTTATAAAAGAAAATAATATATTTCTATTAAACAATTCGAACCAAGTATTATTTGAGTTTGAAATCTAAACCAAACACACCAATATTGATGTGATATTTTTTACATAATAAAATCTGTGCAACATTAGGAAATTATAGTGTCAAAGATACATTAAGGCTATGTTTGATACTTATCACTTAATTTTATGGTAATTCAAAATATAATTTTATTCAATTGGTTCGCTTTAAAAATAATATATATATAGCTATATGTTGTATATAATAAAAATTAAAATAGGCCTAAGTATTAAACAAACAAGGTTATACTCTTAAATAAATTATTGTAGGTGTTGTATGAGACTATATCATATGTTGTTATCTGTATTATATTAATATAAATGATGTGTTGTTAATAGTAATGTCGTGTGTTGTTTATTAGCATATTGAGGTGATGGTCAGCACTATGCTAGCCGCCTCCATATAGGTTTATGTGGAGTATTTGTTTTTTTAGTTTTTATTATCCAATCAAACTATAGTATAAAAAATATATATACAAGTTGTGTTTTTTTGTGGGTTTTACAGATTCTTTTTTTCTTTAAAAAAAAAATACATCTCAAACAATTAATTTTCTTTTTTTTCTATATTTTACTGTACATTTATTTTACATTCAAAACATCACATCAATCTCTATTTATATCAAATATTCAAATTCAACTTTATACTGTTAAAAAATTAAAACTCACAAACAAAGACTCCCATATAGTTTTTTATTAAATATTACTACTACTTTCACATAAGAAAATAAAATAAAACTTCAAAAGGAGGCATTACATAACTTGTTATTTGTATAAGTATATATAAATGCAGTATTTAAAATTTTGGATACACAATACACCATTGTGGCTATATCCCTAAGAGAAATATTTATCATCTACGTAATGTTTACTATGGATTAATTAGTTCTTATGTTATAATTTTATAAGATAAAAACTAATTCATCAAAGATAATAAACATGCCCTAGAGATAAATATAATGCATGATCCATCAAATTGTGATTTGAATGAAAACCCTAAATCACATGAAATCCCAACACATTCCAAGACTGGTGTTAGTTCTAAGGGGAACGAACTATCTTTTAATGGAATTATGTCGCAGCTCAAGCACAAGTGTATGGTTTCTCAAGTTATTCCACAAATTAGGCATATCTATGTTATTTCAAATTGGCTGTATCTACATGTGAAGAAAAACCTGGTGAGAACCAAACTGTGTTTAGAATAATTCCATTGAGAGATAAGTTCGTTCGTCTTAATCTAACAACACTTTTGGAATACACTCGAAATTCAATTCCATATATATATATAAATGCAGTTCAGTTATTGGTTAAATGATGATATTATCGGTTATAGGTAAGACTTTAGAGTTGCTGGATTGATCAGATCAGATCAGTGAGTGTGTGCAACTCAGAAATCATCCAAGTTTTCGATTAGCTAGCAATTATTAGTTTGTAAATGTAATGCAGTTTTTTGAATAGCCTAATCGATCCTTCTTGCAATTGTGGTTGATAGTTTTGGGAAAGGGAAGCAGCAGCATTGAGGCAGCAACTGCAGAGTTTACAAGAAAATCATCGGTAATGTAATTTTTGCAGTGAAATTGGAAGAGTTTGCATCATAAACAGATCGAAAAAATGAGAAAAATGCATGAGTTGCTGATCTACTTGGAACCAACAGATGATCAATGCTTTGCTACTCTGATATAGTTAAAAGTTAACGAATGCATAATTTAAGACAGGATATTGATGGGGGAAGAACTATATGGATTGGGTGTTACAGATCTACAGAAATTAGAAAATCAACTTGAAATGAGTTTGCGAGGCGTTCGTGCCAAAAAGGTCGGCTATGATCATCCTCATCTTCATAAAAAATTTGAGATATTTATTTTTAGATTTATATTTGATCTTATTCGTATGTTAGATTAATTAGATTTGAGTATATCAAATCTGTTTTATATTGTGTATATGTAAGGTATATGTAAGGCTCTGATCAATAATAATGAGATTTTTCAGTTTTCATCAAATATTTTCACGTAGTATCATAGCCTTTTTTTTTTCTTTTGAAGTAGATGTAGTCTACTTATCATGTTTTTCCGGGTACAATCAACCTGGAATGTATATGTAGATCTCCAAAATTTGAGATTCTTTTGTTTTTATTTTTATTTTATGGTGTCAACGAAGATTTTCGAATTTTGATATTCACTTGCAATTAGTTCTCCTGTCAAATTTATTTTTCAAGTTTGCGTCCGAGTTCGGGCTTTGATCGTTTGTTTATAATTTAGTATAAAGCGTTGTTTCTGATTGCATTGAGAGTTCGTCTTTTTCCCGACTCTGATGAGAGTTCTATATTTTCCCGGATCTGGAGAGAGTTTAATGTTTTCCAGTACCATGTTTACTTATTCTTGTGAGAGTTCGTATTTTCCGCTTCCGTGTTTTTTTGGCCCCGGTGAGAGTTTTGCGTTTCATGTTCCATATTTTTTAGCTCCGGTGAGAGTTTTGTATTTTTCAGTTAAATGTTTTCTTGCTTTGGTGAGAGATTTTCCTATTTTACAGTTTCGTAACTCTAATTTAATTGAGAGTACTGCTTCTGATTTTTACATAACGATTGTCTCGTTGTGTGATCTTTGATCTGTCTTTGCAAATTCAAGTTGATATTCTGTTACAGTATTAGATTTAAATTTAAATTTGATTATATCCATATTAAATTACTTAGATTTTTTGTCAATCTATACCTCCTTATTTTATTTTAACGATCCGGCGGCTTTAAACTTTCATTTTAATTTTGGGAAACAGAACCAAAATTTGTGCTCCAGGTTGTTAATTGTTTCTAACTTTTGCAGGAGCAGGTGTTAACCGAAGAGATCCAAGAGCTAAATCGTAAGGTATGCCTATTAGCAAATCAAACACAAAATTAGGATCTCATGAAATGATTCAGATGCCAGGGGATATTTCAGTTGAAACAATTTGGGGATTGAATTTTTGTTTCAGGGAAACCTCATCCACCATGAAAATGTTGAGCTGTATAAGAAGGTGAAGCACATAGAACAGGAAAACATGGAATTGTATAAAAAGGTAAAATAGCTTTGCTGAAAACTGTGGTTATATAGTTCAATCGAATTTCATCCTTACCTTCACTGAGCTCTGTTGTTTTTTCCTCAGGCTTATGGCACAACCGATCCAGTAAACGAAAATGACTTTCTCCCTTTCGGTTTCGCAATCAACTCTGAGCTACTGTACGGACCAGTTCAGCTTCAGCTAAGTCAGCCTGCAACGCGTGATATTCAAACGCCGTTAGCCAGACCGAGGTAATCAAATTAATTTCCCAACCTTAACATCACACACAGAAATGTATATATATATATATATAAAACCTCAATTCTTTCAAAACTGCGTCAAATTATTATTTCATGGTTTAATAAATTTTGGGTCTAGCACCTCGGCCTTACTTATTTAACTGTGTTTGTGTTTGAGCACTCATATTGTGAATGAATTTCATATTACTAATTTTTAAACGTTTAAATTTATAAATATATTTATTTCTCTTGTATTTAGTCTCAAAACATTAAAAAACAATTTTTAAAACCACAGAAAAAATAATTATTTTTAAATATACTTACTGTTTCAGGTTAAGAATAATGTATATATTTGTAATTTTAAGGTTTAAAAATAAAAGTTCTAAAATTTATTTGCGGGCACATGCAAGTCAAACCACGAGGGAGTTTGATAGGACAATTTTCAAAGTTTTGCGCAATTTCGTGTGTGTGTGTTTTGTGTAATTTAGCCATAAGATCATTTCCTTGCTCTGAAACACTATAATTGAACGTGGGGCAAACAAATCCCTAATTCTTCTGCAGGTAACGATTCTAATTGAGTGGAAGGATTATCAGCAAAATAGGGGGTTCAATTAATCCCCAACACAGCTCGCATGGAATCCAAATGCATTTGAAGGATTGAAATGGTTTTCGTATATTAATTACCTCTCTGTGTATTCGAATCTTCCAGAAAATTACTTGATGTTGCAGCAATGCTCCGATTCTTTCGCAATTGGCGGATTGCCGATGGATCGATCGATCGAACTGCAAATTTATATATATAGATGAACAGCAACGGCTTGTGGTGTGGAAAATATAAAGCAAATGAAGCATTCTTCACAACGTTTTAAAAAAATGTGTTCATAAAGATACAAACAATTAAATTAAAAAATAAAATAATTAACTAACTGAAAATGAGAGCAACAGTCGTCAGTTTGTTTAATTTTAGTTTTGTATTTTAGATTTGAAATTTCTTTATTTAATTCTTTATTTATCTCACATTGAAAGTTGTAACACAATTAAGTTGTGTTTAAATACAACTTTGTAACAAGGGCATAGGATGTGGCTAAGACATAAAATGTCCCGTGTCCCAATTGGACATGGAAACCATGAAATAAACTCGAGTAAAATATTATTTTTTGAGCTAAAATTATTTGTTTCCGGTTACCAGCAATTTCAATTTTGGCATTTATTGTCCTGTATCGTGGAAGTGGGAAGTTACCGTGCTGAATTTGAAAAATCAGCACCGTGTTGATTTTTCAAAACAACACACGTAAAATACAGATATACAATATGTGTTGTTTATAATAAAAATATGTGTTGTTTGTTCATAATTTGTATTGTATAAAAGTATATCATGTGCTAAAAATAAGTATTGTATGTGTTGTGTGAGACTATATCATGTGCTCTTAAGTCCACGTTCCCGAAATGGAACGATTCAAGCTGACCAAATGGTTGTGATAGGGAATTTGTTCGGTGTTTCGAAGTTGTTCCTATTAATGGTTGTATTGTCTATAGCAAGATAAGATCCAGTGAGTGGCGCAGAGATTGAATTTGGAACCCGGACCACACATCATGGGCGTCTGGGCCGACCGGCAGGCTAAGGGCAAAAGAATCTGTTTCAAAGAAAGTGGTGACCTCCAAAAAAGAAAGGAGAAAGAGATCTCTCGTTAGGTCTGGGGTCGTGCTATATTTGTATTATATTAATATATATTGTGTGTTGTATATGGTAAGATTATGTATTGTCTGATAGCACACAGTGTGCTATTCAACAAAGTGCTGAATTTTACTGTAGCCGCCGCCATAGTAGAAGTGTCTATAAAAGCCCTCTCACCACTCTATTCTTAGCTCAAACACACCATTTGATAATATTAGGTGTTGCTTAATCCAGAGACAATTTGTCTTTTATGTGTAAAAATATTACATCACGAACTGGAGGCACATATCATATTTTTTTAGTAAAGAAAAAAGGTTACCATAGAAGAATAGTGTATCCGAATACAATTATAATGCCCATGCTGCCTAGTAGAGACTAAAACTCCATGACTAAGTCTTGAGAAGTCCATCTGGCTAGCTTGTAGACAACCTGTCTTAGTATTTACACACCTCTGGTAATAGAAAAAAAAAATGTCAAGAAAATGCAGCTACTGTCTTCTACTTACCTTCGTCTAAATGTTATTGCCAAACTCCAATGATAATCAAGTCTAACAATTTCACCATAACTGTTTCAGTTAATTAATAGCTTCATCTTGGCTGAGGGGGAGATGGCTGCAAAAGAATAGGGGATGGTTCTGCTGGAATTGGATTTGGTAGAGCAATAGGTCTCTCTATAGAATATCGATTGGATCCTCCAAAACTCTCGATGGACCTCATATATTCAGAGGCATTGTTTTCGATGATGAAGGCATCTTCCAGCTCACGAACAAGATCCGACATGGATGGACGATAAGCCGAGTAAGGTTCAATACATGCCAGAGCTACCTCCACCACTCGCCACATTGCTTCGCCATGGTAGCTTCCCTTTATGCTCGGATCCACAATTTCTTCGACTCTTGAGTTCCTTATATGAGGTTTCGCCTGTCGAGAATTTTGTAACCATGTGGTTAGATTCTTACTGCTCGAGAAACATGGTCAGAAATTGTATTATTATTCATAACGAAAATAGTAATCTATAAATAAGTATAATATAAATACACAGTAGGCTTAAACCTAATGGATAAAACTAAAATAAACTGAATCCAATCTAAAACTAAATAACTAAAACATCTCAATATCCTCTTAAACTCAAGTGATTTAACAAAATAACTTGGGTTTGCAAAGAGAGATTGAAGATAATGCAGCACAATCGTCGTGTAATCTGAAGCAGTATTGTCAATTGAATTAGAGTCGGAAACAACAGGACTCGAGACGGAGTCGGAAACAAGTCGGAAATAATAACATTCTTGATGGAGTCGGAAATTATAAGACTTTCGATGGAGTTGAAACAACTGGACTCTTAATGCAGTCAGAAATATGGCTCTAGAGCAACGTAACAGATAAATCGCAGACAGACATGACTTGACTTCAATAGTAAACAAAATCAGGACTCAAAACAGAATTAAAATAAAAAACTAAAACACTGTAAACTATAGTCAAAATTGAAAAATCTCCGACGCTATAAAACAAAACCAAAATAATCTCAAATTCGAAAGACTTCCAGGTATATTTCGAAAAGTATGCTCTCCAAGTTGAATTAGGCCTGGGTAGAGAACCCAAATGTAGGCATAATACACGGGACTAGATAAATTAAACCTAAATAAAACTAAAATATAAATCAACTAAATCCAATTTCTAAATAATTAAAATATCTCTTTAACATTCAGAATGAACTCACCCATTCTACCAAGCTCCACTCGTTCCGCGGCCTGTTTATATTGAGAGGCTCTCGACCACATACGATTTCCAGTAGAACAACCCCGAAGCTGAAGACATCACTTTTTGCAGATAGATGCTGTGTTGAGTAATACCTGAATCAAACAATTTTAATTCAGAAATTCGAACTTGAAGTTTTAATTTTTTTTCCATTAATGGTTATTGCATACTTACTCTGGATCCATGTATCCAGCAGTGCCTCTAACTTCCAGTGAAGTGCCACTGTCTCCTTCCTGAGAAGCATATTTTGAAAATCCAAAATCTGCAACTTTTGCACACATGCTGTGATCCAGAAGTATGTTACTTGACTTCACATCTCTGTGAATTAGGCAACGCTCCGAGAACGTGTGAAGATATGTCAAACCTGAAGAAGATGATGCTTTTATCAGACACTTGTTTGTAAAAATTAAACCTAAATCTGAATAGAAATTCTATTCCAGGAAATGCTTGCCTCTTGCTGCACCCAAAGCAATCGAAAGTCTCGCCGGCCAGTCCAGAGTTTTACGTTTCGATGCTGCTCCTGTCAATTAGTTGAAGGGAGATGTCGTAACGGATTTGGATTAATGATTGAATAACAAATAGAAACATAAAGAAAATATAGATTTACGTGATTCATCGACAATGTATTTGCTATGTCACGGGCGGAAACGAAGAACATATTTATAAGGACGGCTAAGTTATAGATATCATATCTCTAAGTTAATTCAAATAAATTAAGAGAACATTCTCTCCATAAAAAACAATAGTCTCATTTTGTTATTTTTATTGGTCCCAAAACAATAGTATTATTTTTTTTAACTAACTTTTCACCTTTTTACGAAACTATCCCTATTAAGACGGATGAAATGTACCGTATAGACGATCTTGCAATGAGCCATTGGACATGAAAGGGTAGACCAAAATCTGTTGGTCATTCTCGGAACAATAACCGATCAACGGTACTAAGTTTTCATGGCGAATCGATGAAAGTAAGTTCAGCTGTAAATCAACATTGATCAAAGTTAGACTCATTTATGTATAGCCATGAATTTATTCCTCTCATATGTAAATTTTAGTGATTTTAACCTCATTGTTGAATTCGCGAGTTCCCTGAGTCGAAGTATCTGATCGAACTTTCACCGCCACATCTTGGCCATCCGGAAGAGTACCACGATAAACTGGTCCGAATCCACCTTCACCGATCAATGTCTTGTACCTCTGTGTTGCATTTTCTATGCACTCCAATGTGAAACACTGTATTGATATCGATTTAGCCGTAACATCTTCTGTGCTCGATACCGAATAGATTGCATCTGTGTTTAGAAAAAATCATTCTTGCAGCATTTAGTTTCCTTATCCTTTGTTAGAAACAAGATGAGTACTTTTTAACTGTGTTCTTACTCTTTGACATTGTGTGCCCTTTCGCCTCGAATTTTTTCGGCTTTTTTCTGTACAGGCAAACAAAGCATGCTCCAGCTACAACTGCAACCAGCAAAATACCTCCTGCTATTGTGCCTATGAGAATTGCTTTGGCTGAATGGGAAGATGAACTATTGTTGCACTTCCCATCGCTGATTATAAAAGTAAAACATATGAAAAAGGGGTTAGATTTTCAGGCAATATGTAATAAATATGTTGTGGAGATGATAAAATTTGGAAGTCTTACTCTGTAATCAAGTTTGATTTGTTTTGAGGAAGTCTTTCATGGAGGTGACGATTGCAACCGTAGTACCTGATCAAATAACAAATAGAAACGTAAAGAAAATACATATTTGTGGTTCATCAACAATATATTTGCTACGTGCAAGGACAAAATCGAATAACAAATTTATTGAGGACGACTAAGCAGATTTCAGTACCGATCTTTTATAAAGATTAACCTAAATTGCATATCTCTAAGTCTATTAAGAAAAACTTAGAAAATAGATCAGACGGGCTCAGTCCAATACTGCATAGCTTCCGCGCCCCCAAACCCAGGCAAGGGGGACTTCCTTAACCGGACTTGCTGACCGGGCAGCAAGACCCCGTAAAAACTAAGCGAAGGTAAATTAGATTCAAGTTATATCAACAGTAGTTAATTCGATAAAAATCGATCTTCAGTTGTAGCTCTATGATTGATAGGATGCTTTATTATGTAAGGACTTACAGTATGTTCAAATGGGAAATGTCTGAAACAGACCATGAGATGTTTCCTGTCAGGTCATTGTTCCTCACATCCCTACAAAAAGTTTTGAATCCATTTTAGCTACATATGAATTGTGAACAGAATTGATACTAATCGAAAAAGAGTTCCTTACAGTGAGATCAACATGGAGGAAGCTGGAAATCGTGGAATTGTACCAGTAAATCGATTGCTGCTCAAATTCCTGCAATTTTTTAAATCAATTGCTCAAGAACATGAAGTGCTTACTACATCTAAAACAAAATTAAGATTGCAGAGACGAACAATTCTTTCAGGTGAATCAACTCAGCCATGCTTGGAGGGAGAGGTCCCGCAAGTCTGCTTTTGGATAAATCCCTACAACATTAATCACTTACACATCAATAAACCGACATTCTCGAATCAATTTGTGATCATCCTAGATTACAGAGGAAGATTCTCACATTTTAGTGATAGCCAAAGTACCATTGAAAGCTTCACAAGACAAGCCATGCCATGGAAGAGGAAGACAAGGATCACCTGACCAGGTTTGCAACACATGATTATCTTTGTTCTCTGCAACTAACTCATCCTTCACTTTCGTAATTGCATTCACTGAATCGACATAATCGAGAATATCAATCATTTATAAAAAAAAAAACATTACTCAATTATACATTACTGATCAAATCTCTGGTTTTTTCTACCTTCATCTTCATTCATCTCTTCATGTCCTGAATAAGTCTGTAGTAGAATCTCGTAGGCATTGCAAATCGGTCCCAACCGAGCATTTGGGGCTTTTACTAATGTCAGATTTAGAGTTCCCTTTGCTGTGAAGTTCAAAAAAGTTGCCAAGTAATGCGAGCCAGTGGCTAATATATCGATCTCTTGTTTTTTTTCATTGTTGATATACACATGAAAGATCCTTTCCCCTGATCGAACAGAGTTGTTGAGCTCGAGAAAATGGAGGTAGATGTTATAATCATGGCTTCCTTCATCGAGATCTTTGTAATAAAACTCTAACCTTTCTTTATGAGTTAGAGCTGTTTGCAGTACTTGAGGTGGAGGCAACATGCTGTCTGCAATGGTGATATTTCCATTGTACGAGGAAGAAGACGACGATATGTAATTAACCGTTGGATCGTGGTAAGAATGTGCTCTCCATAGCCTATCGTATGGATCGGTCGGGTACCTGAGATTTCAAACATGGTAAAATCATGTCATCCAACTTATTTATTGTCCTAAAAAGAAATATTATGAATCTTACTTGATGTCAGATTCTTTGTTTCCTACATCGACTCGATCGAGGAGTTTAAGCACTCTCGAAGCATTTTTCTTGACGTAATCTTGATGCGAAGGCCGTAGTTCCATCTTCGAAAGAAATGCTTTTCCTTTGCCTTTCACCAAGCAGAAGTGAGTGTAGTTTTTAGTTGCGGATTTAAATATCGCTTCGACGTATGGTTTGCTGTCTGAATTCACTCTTGCTAAGATTGTTGCGCCGATAGAAACTTTGAAGAAGCTATCCGGCGACGCATTTTTTAGAGGAAAAGTTGCTCGAATGAGGTATACGCCATTGATTCTTGTTGGCAAGGTGTAACACCATTTGCAGTTGTTGTATTCGGAGCTAAAAATTCTCGACTTTCTTTGAGCGCCGTGTTTGGTGTCTCGACAACTAGTTTTGTCGGGGTACCAGTTGTCGTCGGGTATGTAAGTGATGTTGGTGATTTGTTCTGTGAAGTTAGCCTCTGCACAGCACTGTATGCTAACAAATCCTGTTGTAGCAGATGAAGATCATGTGTGAATATTACTTTAGGCCAAACCTTGATGAAGAATTAGGGAATGTATTGATTTGTGATTGAAGATTAAAAGATGAAGCTACCTTGTTGTGGTTGTTGTGATTGGGCAAAAATGATGAAATTGATGATGATGATGATGAGGGTTGTGATTGCATTGTGCAGTTGTTGTTGTTGTTGTCGTCGTCGTTGTTCCATGATGTCTTCGTGTTGTTATTCCTCTGGCCTTCGCCATGATCTGTGCATCATCAGCTATGATTGATCTGGTTGGAGTTGCAGAGCTTGTTGGGAATTTGGAAGGGGAAGGGAATTCAAATAAGAGACAAAAAGGTATCAAAGAAATGCAGAACAGAGAAAGGAAGATGTGATTCGGTTTGGAGTTTGACTTTGGAGAGAGAGAGAGAGAGGCTGTTTGGTGCTGCTTATAACACCTGAGTATTTTTAGTAAATATGTACAAAATATCTTATATTTTATTTGTATAAAATTTTTGTAATTTAGATCTTTATTTAAAATCAAATATCGAGGATGTTTTGTGCAAATTTCGCAATAAATAAAATATGTGGTATTTTGTGCATTTTGATTAAAATACAATAGGGTATTATATAATTTACTTTATATATATTTTATGATGTAGGAAGTCACAACCACTATCCGAAACTAAGCACCGGTTAAATTAAATTTTCAAATGAACTTAATACCTTGCAAACTGGGTTCAACAGTCAAGTCATACTAGGCGACCATGTGTGACAAGTGACCTTCGGATTTGAACCCATATGTTATAACAAAAATTGAAATATTTATACTCCCTCCTCCGTCCTACAACAAGAGCACCGTTTACTTGCTTTTAAATATTAGTATTATATTAGTTTGTAGGAAAATAGACAAAAATATCCTATGAGTGCATTATAAAAGTGACGACATTTGTATAATATATTTAAAATTGTAAAGATATTTATTCGATTAATAAATGGTACCCACTAAACAAGAATAAAAAATGATATTTTTTTTTTTTTTATGGTGAGGGAATATAAGAATTGTGATGTTGCTAATTTATAAATATGTATATGTGTAAACCTTTTTAAGGTTTGAATTTGAAATTTGGGAATGATAAAAATATAAATTAAGTGTGTATTATTTTAACAAATTTTTTTTAATTTTCATTATTCATTAGATTTTTTGTTTTTTTGAAAAATGTCAAATCAAAAATATTTATTTTTTATATTATATTTAAAATTAATTTTATATTCAAAATATACACATCAGCTATTTTAATTCAAAATTTCAATTCAAAATCCAATCATTCAAACAAACACACTTAATTTTTAAACATGTATTTAGATTGAAATTTAATGTTTTTGAAAATAAATATTTAATTTAATAATTTCTTAAAACTTTTTTATGAGTAGTGTGGTCGAACTGAATACACAAATTAAGTCCGCATTATATAATTAATTGTAGTTATATAATACTGTATTCATTCATGAAATTTATGCAGATTTTTTACATAAACAAAAATATTTTTTTTTATTTATAGTAAATATTTTTATACATTATATTTATTTACAAAAATATTATAATCATTTATATGCTCAATTTATAAAATAAATTCTTTTATATTATTAGTTTACTCGTATATTTTTTAAAATATTTATATTTTATATTAAAATCAATTAATATAATATTATATTTATTAAAATTTATATGTAATTCAAATGAACATATATTTTGTAAGAAAATAATATTCCTTCCGTCCGTTATTATTTTATATTTTCGTCTGTCCTAGAACAAGGTTTTTTTAATTTAGTAATTGTACTACCTATCTAATATAATAAATATCATTTCAACTTACAATATATTACACAAATGTCATTACTTTTATATTACATTGTACTAATAAAGATATTTTTATATTTTTTTACTACAATCTAATATAATACTAATATTAAAAAAATCTATGTATCGGGAGAGTAGTGTATATATATATAATTCAAATTTAAAAATAATAATTTGAAATGAATCGACAACTCAACTCCGCGTAATGACCTAGTTGTAATAGTAACCAATAGCCATGAAAATGAAAGGATAAATATATAATATGTTGGCTTGTAGTCTTTCTTAATCACATGACTAGACTACACCTTGTAAACTCAACATGAATTTCCTTTCTATCAATTTAATTTATAAATTATCAAAATTTATGTAATTTATATATATATCAACTATTGGGCTTTTATTGTGCAGAATAACATTAAAGAAATATAGTATGTAATAATAAATATATACTTAAATTGTCAACGTTGCTCTAAATACAAAAATTTAAGTAAAGTATAATTAATAAATAATTAAAAAATATATTAGTAAAAATAATTATAAATTAAAATTAATATAATTGAATAATTTTATTAAAATTAATAAAATTATAAATTATAAAATATAATTAAAATGTATTATTATATTTTTTAAAAAAATCACAAATTATATAGGATAAACTGAAATAAAAGAATAAAAAATAATAGATAATTTATGTGAGACAAATTGAATATAATATTTTAAAATAGTAATAAAAAGTAAAATTAAAACGAAAGAAAGTATTATTCCATTTAACATATTGGAAATTAAGGGGCGGAGCAACCATTATATTGCAATAATTATAATAATAATAATATTTGTCCTAAGTTTTGTCCCTTGCATTCATTGATTGATGGTAAGAATAAATTAATCAATCAATCAAAATCGTCCATGGAATTTTAATAATCACAATATATATATATATAATATTATTCATTTTCCATAAAGTGTTCTTGTAAATACTAAAATTTAAATAAATTATAATTAGTAAATAATTAATAAATATATTAATAAAAATATTTATAATATAATATAAATAATTATGAATTTTAAAATATAATTAAAATGTATAATTATTTTTAAAAAAATAAATTAATTATATAAAACGAATCAAAATAAAAATACTGAACAGATAGAAGAAATACTATTAAATAACAATTTGAATGGATTATTTGGATATTAACAAATAACACAATCATCTATGTGTGTCATTTGTTTTAAAAGCAATTTTGGTATTTTAAATTATTTTTAAAATAATAAAAAAAATAAAGAAATATACGTAATATTGTATAAATTAAAATATAATATAGTATGTTAAAGATAAAATAAAACTTATAAGAACACACCTTATGATTATTATAAAAATATAATTCTATCAAAAATATTATATTAAAATATTATTCAAATAAAAATAAAATAAAATGAAAAAGAACACACCTTATAAAATTATAAAATAATGAGTGGGTTGAAAGGAAGCACATCAAAGCCAACTTAGTAATATATTATGAGAGGTTAGGAATAATTAAATAAAGACAAGAAGGAATGCGTGTGTTTTCTAATTTTTATTAATTGTTTTAGATAATTTTAATGAATAAATATAATATTATATTTTTTTTTTAGTATAAACAACAAAATTGTAGAGTAAATAAGCAATTTTAAAAATAAAAAATATATATTAAATACTTTTTACCCCAAATCAGACGTAATAACCCAAATAAGCACAATTTTTTAAATATATCTTAAAATTCACCTAACCGGTTTTTCAAAGGAACACATCCAAAATGTTATAGTTGATTTTTAAAAATAATAATATTATTTTATATCAAAATAAATACTTATCTAATGTAATATTATAAATAAAAACAATTTTTTTTAACCTAAAATTTTAAATAAAAATAAATAAATAAATGTCCCAACAAACAAACCCACAAATCGTCAATCAATCCAAATGCAAGAAAAAAAAAATACCTGTCAAAACCCAATGGAAATAATATGCTCTATATTCCCAGACATCAGAATATGATCGCCGAGAGGCATAACTCTGCTCCCATTCTCATCCGCCATGCTCAAATGCTCACAAACATCGACGTTGAAACTCGCAGCCACTACTCGTTTCGGCAAAACACGCACCCGCTCGAACCCGATCAGCTGCCTCCGCGGCGAGCCTCGGAGGATTTTCGACATTTTCGTATACAGAAGAACAACTTCGCTCCCCTCGACATCTCCATCGTTCGACACCAATATTTGCACCTCGAACTTCAGCAAACTGCAGTCGCGTATTTCATCGATGAGGATATAGTCGAGATCGTCGTACAGCGTGCTTCTGCGTCGACTCAGTTCCTTTATCTGTAACTTTCCCGGAACCGACGAAGCAAGTTTGTAAGAGAAGCTCGTGTAACTCAGACCGTGCCCGAAACCGTACACCGTATCTCCGGTGTAAAACCGGTGAGTCCTTCCCGGATAATTACGGGACGGATCCGGTCGCATGTTCATGTCATTCATCGGGACTCTGACGAACGATTCCGGATACCAAGTAACGGGTAGTCTTCCACCTGAATTTCGACGAAGTAAACGAACCCTTGAAATTAAAAAAATAAATCGAATCTTTACAGGATTTGATCTGAAATTCGAGTTCGTAATAACCTGGATTATTGCGTCCGAATATTATTTCGGCGAGAGCTTCGCCACCGGTCTCTCCGGGGTAACCGATCCAGAGAATGCCACCGATGCGTAGGTGCCCGGCGGCAAACGAGACATCAACCGGCCCCCCGCCGGTAATAACTAATATCAACGGTTTCTTGCTAACTTCAGCGATAGCGGTGACGAGCGCCATCTGCAGACCCGGCAGAAGAAGACTGTATCTGTCTTGATCCTCGGTTTCTTGAGTTAAATTCAACCCGACCACAACAATCACATAGTCGACGTGTTTAGCTACATAGACGGCTTCGGCAAAACCGGCACTCGAGTTGCAACGAGTGTCTCGACAACCAACAGCATGCTTGGCATCGCTGACGTAATCTCGGAGCCCATCGAGAATGCTTCTCGGGTTGCATGGAACGCCTATACGACAGAAAACTCGTGAAATTTGAAACTCAACAAACGGAATTAAGTCGGAGCACGTAGATTAACCTGTATATCCGCCGCCAAGATCGGTTGAATCAGCCATAGGTCCAATAACAGCTAGCGAGGAGACTCGATGCTTGTTTAAGGGCAGGAGGTTTTCGTCGTTTTTCAGAAGAACGATACCTTGTTTGGCTGCCTCGAGCGCCAATTTCCGGTGCTCTGCAGTGCATACATCTTGAGGTCCTAATCCCCCGAAACGATTTCTCGATTCTCCATCAAAGAGACCGAGGCGGAGCTGAACAGAGAAAAGATTAACCAATGCTTCATCTACATCTCCCTCGGACACCTTCTCCTTCTCGATCGCAGATCTCATGTGGCGCAACATGTAAGTGCCACAATTTATGTCAGTTCCTGCAAACGACTTGACATTTATAAGTTACGAGACCAATGCCACAAATTCATATCCGAAAATTGTAATCCGTGTTTATAGACCTGCTCTTAGAGCAGCTGCAACGGCATCCTCAGGTGATTTAGTGAAATTCTGGTACTCGTAGATCGTCGCCACAGCATCGCAGTCGGAGGTGATGTATCTGTCATGCCATAGACAAGTATAATGTAATGTTAGTTTTCACATCTACGATTCATCAAAGAAACAGATGTTAAAACTACCACCCTAGGAAATTCCAATCCTTTCTTGCTTTTTGTAAGAGGCCGTGGTTGGCGCAGGCAGGTATACCGTTTACAGAATTGTACGAACACATCAAGCAGCTGGCACGGCCCTCCTCGATGCAACTCCTGAACGGCACCTGGTATGTATCGGCCATGTCCTGATTGGTTACCTAAAACACACACAAATGAATCACTTTGTAAGAAACTAAAGCAAGAAACGAATTTACCGATGAAGATGAGCAAGCAAAGAACAGGGCAACATTACAATGGCGTTGAAATTGTATCTGGTGAACTGCTGCCATTTCTCCAAATCGTAGGCTGTGTAATGCTTGCAACAAGCAGACAACATTAATCCATCCGAATCCACACTCTCGCTCAAGACTCGCCTCCTGACATCGGCCTTGTTGTGCTGCCCCTGGAAAGCTCTGACATATGCAACAGCATAAGCTGACACCACCATGGGATCCTCCCCGGGCGTCTCCTGCCCTCTTCCCCACCTCGGATCACGAAAAATGTTAATATTCGGGGCCCAAAATGTCAGCCCAGCTTGGCCATAGTTGTGCATCGCCTTCGCCTCCACTGCAATTGCCGACGCAATCGCTGACCACAGAGTCCGGTTGAAGGAGGCGGCAGCAACAAGGACCTGGGGGAAACCAGTGGCAGATTTGATAGTTCCATTGAAGGAGACGCCAGGGCCATTGGAGGCAATTCCATGGAGGGACTCCGACCACCACTCATATGGTGGAATACCAAGCCGGTCGATGGCAGAGGCGTTGTTGGAGAGCTGCTGGATTTTCTCGTCGAGGGTGAGGAGGGAGACTAACGATCGAGCTCGGACTTCAATGGGCAGAGAGGTGTTGCAGAAGGGGTAGGAGCTGTGGTTCGGCAGGCGGCAGGGGTAGCGTAGCCATGGTGTTTGATGATCGGCCGGCACACTGCACTGGCAACAGGAGATCAACTGCAGGAAGAGCAGGAAGAAGAGGAATGGCCACTGAGCATACATTTCTGTATTGATCCAACACAACCAAACAATCAAAGTATTTCACATTATCAACTAAACTAATCGAAATCATTTCGGGTATGAATCATTGTAATTGAGCAACAATTTATACGAATGTACTAATGGAAGCTCTAATCAACTAATTAGCATAAATTTCATTGTCTTATCTTCAAGCTTTTTGATTCTTCAATGATTTTGTGAGTAATGAAGTCGATTTCTATCTACTTTTGCTGCAACATCTTCATCTATTAGGATGCAGAGTGATATTTGATTAAATTGGGTAAGATCTTATGATAACTGAAAACTATTTACTGCTTTTGTTCTAGAGATCATTCACTGTGTACAGCAAGCAAGCACATCAAAATTGCTGCAAACTGCAATTCATTAGACAGATTGAGAAAACAACAAACAAATGGATCGTGATGCAGCAAACAAGGAAAGAAATATGCCCAAACCGGAAACAATGAAGATATCTCACCAGCATATATTGTAACGATGTTGTATAATAAAGGATTCTCACATTTGCTTCGCTTTTTATCCATAAATAAATTAATAAATAATTACTGAAGTGTGGTCGATTGAACTTACAATGTTCAGTCGGAGACGAAGCCGAGTGAAGCACGACGATGTTGAGACAAAGTCAGTTGAAGAAGAAGATGGAGAAGAAGGGAAGACCGAATGCGGAATTGGAGAAAACAGAATGTCTATCCGTGAGGTTCTCTCTCAATTCAATCATTCAATTTGAAATTCGAATCGAAAATTAGGGCAAAATCAATTCACCTCAACCCGCCCATGGTTGAAAAATAGTTTACAGCATCCCAAGCATAATTCTGGCGATTTAACCTCATTTCCAAATTCACGAGCTGTCTCTTCGGATTGAAGCATCTGATAGGAGTTTCACAGCCATAGCCACAACTCGACCTTCAGGAAGTGTAGTGTGGTAGGTATAACAGCTTCAAATCCACCATTGCCTATCAATATTTTGTACCTCTGCGCTGTGCTGCATTTTTTATGCACTCCATTGTGAACCTCTGAGTCGATATTAACTTGGGCAGTAACATCATCTTCAAATATGTCCAAAGTCGCCGCAAACTCCATTGAAGTTCTTTGACAGCAGTAAACCCTCCGCGGCCCCCAATTTACACTACTTTTCATTTTTCCTTTTTTAGTTAAATTTATTACAATTTTATTATTTTTGTTTTAATTAATAATAATAATTAATTTACTGTTATTTTTATTTTAATTATTCTATATAATATTTTTATATTGAGAATAATTTTTAAATATAATTTGAACAATACCAATCATATATTTGATTTAAAATTCGATTTTTTTATTCGATCCAATTTGTCATTGTGTTCTATTCAAGTTACATTCGATGTCGTTGTATTCAAAATTGAATAAAAAATTTCCAAATGATAGTTATGTAACTTGATAAGAAAAAAATACAAAGCATCTACTATTTATCAATTTTTTAAAATTGAAAAAAGACTTTCTATAATAAAATAATACTATAAAATATTATTGTATATTGTAATTGTAATTATATTATATTTATATATGTAAATTTAAAAACTAATATTATGAATAATTTTTTTGGGATTTATTTAATTTGAAAATATATATATATATATATTGGAAAATTTATATCTTATTCCTTTGATTGAAAAGAAAATTTATTATCCCCCCGTCCCATTAATTTGTCCATATTTTCTATTTTTGTCCGTCTCATATAATTTGTCTTTTCTTTTTTTGGAAAATTAATTATACACTTTAATCATATTTTAAAATTTAAAATTATTTTAATTTTAATTAAACTATTTAGTTATCTTTATCTTAATTTATAATTATTTTTACTAAATAATAATTATTTTTACTAATAAATTTCTTAAGTACTTACTAATTATACTTTACTTAAATTCTCGTGTCTACGATAATACACTCATATTACATGAGACGGAGGGAGTAATATTTTATAAATATGTAGTTTAATAGAGGAGTGTTAAATTCATTTTATTTTTGACATTAATGGAATTAAAAGAAATGATATGAAAAGTAAAAATGTATTTTTACTAAAAAAAAGAAAAAAATTGGATACTTTTGCTTTCAACAAACAATAATGACAAAATAGATACATTTGGCTTATCCGTATGAAGAAATATCAAATCGAATATTAAAATTTTATATTTGTATTTAATTTATATTTATAATCGGATTCGAATCGTAATATTCAAATACCAATATCAATGCTTCCCTCGTTCCATAACAAAGTATCAATTTTTCTATTTTAGTCCGTCCCATAACAAAGTATCCATTTCCTTTTTTTTAAGTAACTGTACTATCTACCTAACATTAGAAATACCCTTACAATTTACAATATATTACACAAATGTTATTACATTTATATCACAGATACTAATAAGGGTATTTTAGTCATTTATATTTTATTCCTACTATATCCCAATATAATACAAATATTTCTAAAACTACGTGCAAAAAGCAAATGAATATTTAGTTCCGAGACGGAGGAAGTATTTCAAATTAAATATCGAATCAAATCAATTATTTGATTCAAAACAGTGATTTGGCCGTTGGTAACGAGATAGTGTAAAAACGTAGGTTGAAAAAGAGAATTGGAAATCAAAAGGAATCGGACAGATGTGATTCGTCATCCTTAGCAGCAGCACTGGCCAATCCTTCAAAACACTTCGATGTGCTGACTTGTTTATGAGCTCCACCGACTTTTTTACCTGACACAATTTTTTTATAACAGAACATGCACAAATATTGTATTTTTATCTCTGCACTTCTTCAAGTCGTCTCCTGCACCAGACAAGATATGGATTGCTTTCGAATTAAATGTATTATTATGTTTATATTTATGTTTAATGTGAAATTTGATATGTGCATTTGATGATTAAAATAGTTATTACGATTCAAGTGATTAATCTAAAATTATATCTAATGTCGATATGTATTTGATGATTATGCTATTATGTGTATATATCTTTGCAATTGAAATTACTAAGAATCGGTGAGTGCAGTTTGTTTCAATACAAATCGTTGTATGTGAAGTTGATTGTCATATATTTGAAAATAATATTTTGGTTGCAAATTGAAGTGAATATTTTAAAAACATGTCTTTTCGGTTGTATTCATATATTGTTGGGAGTACGTATTTGACTAAATCCAACTACAATCATTTACTATATTTGAATTTCTAATATTTTTGGATAATATATATTTATTTGTACAAATCCGTTGTTTTTAATGTTTATAGTCATAATTTTTAATTTTTATTAAAATTAGTTTTCTAATTTTGATTAGTCACAATTACTTTATTATTGTGCATTAAAAAATTACAAAATTTTAATTTGTGTCATTGTTTGTTTATAGTCATAATTTTTAAATTTTTATTAAAACTAATTGTCTGAATTTTGATTAGTCACAATTACTTTATTATTGTGCATTAAAAAATTGCAAAATTTTAATTTGTGTCATTGTTGATTATTTTTAAGTAGTCCAAAAATTATTTACTCATGATATAATTTCATTTATATTAGGTAAGTGCATATCAAATTGTTAGTCTAAGATCATTTATGTTTATTTGGTTCAATATGATTTATACATGTGCAATTAATTGGTATATATTGATAACAATATTTTAAATAGAATATTTGCTTTTTTTATTGTAAACTGATGTGAATATAATTTGCCGTATATTTGTTTAAATCCAACTATAAATTGAAATATATATAATTTCTTCTATTGAGTTTATATATTTTTTACAGAACATTTGTTTAATTTTAGCTACATCTTTTGTTTATGGTCACAATTTTTAAATTTTGATTAAAACTAAATAGGTGACTTTTGATTCATCACAATTGTCTTATTATTTTGCTTTAAAAAATTGTGATTTTTTAATTTTTATTTTGTATTTTGATATTTTTTTTATGTGGGTTAAGATTCATTTATAGGTAATATAAAAATAAAGAGTATGCAAAATATTAATTTTTTTTTGAAAAAATATACTGAAAATTTTTTGTTAGAAAAACAAAGCTTTAGTACTTCATTATTTTCGAGAAGTCCAAAATTTATTTATAGTTTTTGTAATTTTATATTGGATACGTGCATGTATATTAATTTTTTTTTATGTGATTTTAAATTAACAACTAGTAATATAATATATTTTATTAATTGTTGAAATAATGTCGTCAAAGTAATGCTTACTCTATAAATCGGTTTATTCAAAGGATTTTTCTTTTTTTTTTTGACATACAACCATAAATGTTATTAGCTAAAATATCATAATAAAGTGCGTATATCTTAGAGGTTCATTAAATTATCTTTAAATATAAAATTCTAACTCCGAAAAATTTTCAAATTAAAATCTCATTTTGTATATAGAGAACTGACATGTCCATACTCATACATTGTTAGAAGCTCTGGTCAAACATAAAATAATATTGTACCAATTCTTGAATTTTGATCGATAACATATTATTCTCGTATCAATACTAGCTTAACCCAACACAATACGAGAATCTTTGACTCAATCTTTTGTGTACTTCAGTTGGGTTGCCTTTCACATCTTTGGAGCTCTGAATATTGTTGTCATGCTCCACAAACACACGAGTTTGTGTTTTTAATAGATGCCCGCAGTTTGGCATTCCATCCTAGTATATTCTTGTAATTTTTGGCTTTTTCATGTCATAATTTGGATGGAACAAAATTTCATATATGTAAATGTCATAACTGGGTAGATCTCCAATACAACAACCGTAACAGCCGGGGAGGATTAAAATTGTAAAAATGACTTCTCGATACCTTTTTCTACTTCTTTCAACTTGAGAAATCTTGTCATCATTAAATGATATTGATTAAAATAGGAAATTCTGCTGCCATTTTTTTTTATTAATAAGTGCATCATTAAATAATTAAACATGTCATAGAAGGTCTGAGTTCTTATATGATAAAAAACTGCAGTGATTTTCTAAGAATAAAACTTTTTAACAAAAAGCCTAAAAATATCATCATTTTTCTTCAAATATCTCCTAAATGTTTACAAAGTTAGTAACTTTTTCAAGAATTCATGCAACTCTTTATTTTCTAGGTATTGCAGTGCGAGTCGATGCCTCATGTGAAACCCCGGGGATATTAATTGGAACTTAGTAAAAAGATCATGTATCCTTGGTGCTTTCGGATTCTTGACCAACATTTCTAGTTATAAAGGCGTCAATCGAGTCTTTCAAGTTGTTCTTGATGTTAGGCATATGAATAAATTTCTTCTAAGATTCAAACTTTGAAAGATCCTCAGGTGATTTGTTTGTAGAATTGATGTTACCAATCACCAAATTATCGAAGTTTGAAATTTTTATCTCGGCAGCAGGGCAAAAGTTGTTAAAAAATTCGGCTTGATCATCTTCAATGATAGATGAGAGTACAGACTTTATATCAAGGGTTTCAACATAGTTATCACTTCAATTGTAATCATAACAGTCTAAGGAATTGTTCCCTTGGTCAGAGCTGAAGTGAATAGAAGAAATCTTGTTGCTGGCGACAAATAGTTGTACTTCTATATTACCAGTTTCATTATAGGTATCAATAACATCATATTGATTCATCAGTTTTTTACCCCAAAATTCTCCAAAATTGTACAACAATATGTTCTCAAAGCTCATAGTTTGGCTCAAGATAGACTTGATAGTAGTTGAGACTTCATTAGAATGCACTGTATTAAAGTCGGATTTATTAGCACAAACTAAGTTAAAGGCTGAAACTTCATCAATGAAATTTAGCTTAGCTTTCTTGTCTCTAATCTTTCATATTTTGACATCATAAGTTATTGCAGCTTCCTAGGCGGTGTTAAAAATACCTAGCCATACACATGAATCTTTATTTGAATTATGAATCTAAACAACATATTTTTAAAGAATTCTCAACATCCTCATTAGATACAACAAAATCAACATAATTTAAATATTTAGAACGAATAAAAGAATGGCGAATGAACATAATTTTCACCTTGATATTTTTGTCATCATAGTTGAATTCTTTAAATTTCCAAAATCAACTACAAAATGTTCATACAAATTAATGATCACCTAAGATCTCGGCAGATGTGAGACAGAATTCTCACAATTTTTCTTATTGCCCAATCACAATATTTTCAATTAATTTGAAGATCCAGATGCGATTATTACCATGGAATCGTATTAAAATTATTTTCTCAACTCAATTAATTCGACATAGTAGATTTTGGATTAGATTTAATTCTTGTTAATTTTTAAAAATTGGTGTCAAAGAAGTTTTATGTTTAAATTCATACGATGTTTTGTTAAATCAATTAATATTTAATTAGTATCGGTTAGATCTACGTACAAAAGAAATAAGGATGGTTTCCGAATTAGATCAATTATTAATATTATTATTATGTTTAATGTGAAATTGAATATGTGTGTTTAAGTTGATTACATAGGTTCAATTGATTAATCTAAGATCATATATGATATATATATATATATGTACGTGTGTGTTTGATGATTATGCAATTATATGTAAGACTTTGCAATGAAAATTAAACCGATTTTGTATGTGTTTGTTTGTTTCACTACGATTTGGTGGATGCGAAGTTGATTGGTACATCTTGAAAACAATATTTTCAATTTATTATGTATTCTTTGCTACAAATTGATGTGGATAAAATTTAAAACACATACTCTTTGAATGCATCCATATGTTTTCGAAGTATTTGTTTATTTAAATTTAGCAACAATTTTATACTACATTTAAATTTCCAATTTTTTATAGCATATCTTTATTTGTATAATTCAACTACATCTATAATAACAGTTTCTAAATTTTGACTGAAATAATTATCTAAATTGTGATTTATCACAATTACTTTGTTATTGTTTTTTAAAAAAATTGCAATTGTATAATTGTTTTGTCACTTCAGAATTATTTATTGTTGTTGTAATTTTCATTTATATTTAGTAAGTTGTATAATATATTCTATGAACTAGTTAAAATAGATGTCTACAAAATAACTTTTACTATATAAATCAACTTTATATAAATCAACTTGTTTTATATATTAAAAATCATGTATGTAATTTATAAAATTGTTGATTGACCCAAAAATTATTATTATTATTATTATTATTATTATTATTATTTGTGTACTTTGTAAAAGCATCTAAGAGTATCATATGTAAACTCAAAAGATTCAATAAAAAATTTTCGGATATAAAACTCAAACTTCGAAGAAAATTTTGAACTAAACTATCATTTTCAAAAAGTATGTAAAATCTGACATGTATATACTTATATGTACTCTTAGAATCTTTCGTCAAACCTAAAAAATATTGCTCCATATTTCGAGGTAATTTTTCGACACCTTTTTCTACTTTCTTCAACTAACGAATTCTTGTCATTATTAAATGAAGCCGATTAAAGAAGTGAAATTTGCTGCCAATTCTAAGTTCTTGGTCGGATAGAACATATTTTTCTCTCCAACTATAGCCCCATTTAATTTAAAATTTTATATTTTCACAAGTAATAACTACTAAAACATTCTTGATTGTCATGTAAAATTTATTTCGGTTGAATATATTGTTACAACATAATATGTGAATTAAAAGAGAGAATATATATATATAAACCCCAATGCCTCCGGGTCTTTCCTACCACGTATGGTTCGCCTAATATGATTTGTCTTATCGGCTCTAATTTGTAGGTTATTAGATTCGACCGAGAGTTTACCCTGAACGCACCTTTAGGATAACGACTTCTCACATTATAATATACATATATATAATTAAATTGTTACAAATTTGCACAAGAAATAGTTTTACCTAAAAGAAGCTAATTATTTTTTTTTTATTTTTAGTCACAGAATTATGCAACAATAATTATTTTCTTTAAGATATTCTATAAATGCCCACAACAATTTATTAAAATGAAATAATAAATAATTACCATGTATTTACATTTCTTTTTAGTTTTTTTTTTTTTTTCAAATTTTTGTTACAATCATTTGATTTTTTAAACAAAAAGAAAATTGCATGAAACTCTGCAATAATTAATCATCAATATATTTTTTAAACAATTGTAGAAAATGTGTGCACAATTTTTTAAAAATAAAGAATAAAAGAATTGAGAAAGAAATATGTTTGATAATTTAACGACCAAATATGTTCTTTAAGATTTATTACAATTGTTTGTGACAATTTGATGAAATTGACCTTTAAAAGATTTATTATAATATTTCACAATAATTTAACAACTAAAAGGAAAGAAACGAAATTGTAGTAAAATTTTGTGACAATCAACAATTAATAAATTTTTTAACGTTTGTCATAAATATCTGCAATAATTTTTTAAAATTAAATAATAGAAGAAGTCTCATAAAATTTCATGAGAATTCAAACATACTAATAGCTATAAAATTAAATTAAAGTAATAACTATAGCTATAAAGTATTGTGGCTATAATTTGTGACAATGTGAAAATCAAACATTTTTTTATTATTTTATCATAATAGTTAGATTAATTGTTTTCAAATTATTGATCCAAAATGTTTATATTTTATTATAATTATTATAACTTCAAATAATTTAATTTTAGTTTATTAGTAAAAGTAACACAAGTAATTTTTTTATGGTTTGTCATAAATGTTTGTAACAATTTTTTTAAAATTAAATCTTCAAGGGAATTAGCCAAAATATGTGACAATTATTTTAAAATGAAATAAAAATTTCAAGAATTATCCCAAAATTTTGCAACGGTAAATTAATAAAATTATTACTTTTTTATTGTTTGATGTCATAATCCGCCGCAAAGTTAATAACAAAAATTTTATTTATACTTTTCAATATTCTGCAGCAAAGTTAATAACAAAAATTTTATTTATACTTTTCAAATATATTATATATAAAATTTTATATCACATCATCGATCAACATCAGCTATTAAATTATTACAATTATAAAAGTCATCTAAACATATTTTAAATTCCAAAGCCAACTTTCAATTCAAAAAATAAATTCAGTTTCATAAATTTCAAATCAAAATATTTTCTAAAATTCTTACCTAAGAAAGTTAAATTATTATTTAAATAATAATAATAATAATAATAAAATCAAATATGTTTGTCTTTACAAAAAAAAAATAAAAAATTAATGCTCTTATGTCAAAAGACATTTTCAAGACGTGTCGGACATTCAGGGAGTGAATATTGTCTCATTGTAGTGATTATGTTCGTCTATATTCTTATATTTTAATTATTATAAAGAATAAGTAATATGTTATGTTATTAAATTTACAAAATATAGAAATTAATCATTCAATTTGATTTTCTACATTCCAAGATGCCATTTATTCAAGTTTTAAATAGCACAATGAGTTTAGGCATGGATCTCTCTTCAAAGCAACAACTCGATCTGGATTGAACTCACAATCTTCACATAGAATTCTATTCATATTATTTAACGAAAACTACATTACAATTTTAACTATGAAATAAAATTTAAGTAAAAATAAAAATACATATGGCGTCATATGATTAACCGGTATAGAGAGAATAAAGAAGATTGACGCTGGCTAACAAAACCGAATATATAATACATATCATATTTTTCAGTAGAATATTTATTTTCTTAATTTTCGTACCGGATCGAAATCGATTAATTTTAATAAACGAAAAAGAATAATACTTTTTCCATCCCAAAACTATAGTTTATGTTGCAAATGACACGAGATTTAAGGAATATTGATATTATATTGGTAGTTGATAAAAAAATACGAATAAAAATGACTTTTTTATCCTTGTGAATGTATTAGTGGCAATTGTGTAATAATAATGAAAAAATAAGAGTAGTTTTACAGTAATATAATTATTTATGAAAATGAAACTATTATTTTTTTGTACGGACAAAAATATAAACAAGATTATTGTATCTGTACACAGAGAAAGAAAGAGAGAGAGAGAGAGAGAGAGAGAGAGAGAGAGAGAGAGAGAGAGAGAGAGAGAGAGAGAGAGAGAGAGAGAGAGAGAGAGAGAGGATATATATACAAATGAATTCGATCAAAAAGTAGGAGCTACCACCGTAGAAATACTACCTACTAGCTCTTACTTTCATCAGTACAAAGGTACGGCGATCCGCGGCGCCGCCGACGGCAAATTCTGCACGTGCAGTACAACAGTCGGCGGCCGCGGAGGCTCACAGGGGCACGGCAGCGCTATAAACCTGGGCACGCTGTCCCCCGGCATTATCACCGGCAAGCTGCTCCGGTGCTGCTTCGCCGGCTTCAAATCCTTCTAACCAAAATAAAATAAAAATAAAAATAAAATCAATCAATTAATTAATTCCAATAATTATAAATTCAGACAGACTCCAAGTAGTTAATTAATTGAATGAATAATATAAATGTGCATACGAGGTGGTGGGATTTGGCGTCGGCGGAGACGAGGGTGGCGCGGCGGCGGAGTTTGTCCCAGTGGTAGCAGCAGGAGAATATTCCGGTGAGGCTGAAAATGACGAGGAGGAGCACCGCCGTGCCGACGGGGAACCCCAGCGAAGACCGGTATGACGACGACGAACCCTCCATTAAATGTACTAACATTTATATTTAATTAATTAATTAATTAATTGATATCCGAAGAAGGGGCCATTTATTTATAGAAGAAGAAGATGTAGGGGGTGCGTGTAAAGGTAGATTGGGTACGGAACAACCAGACCGTATTCGTATGTATAATATATTATTTATTTATTTAATCTTTTAGAAGTTTATTTTAATTTAAAAAATCAGAGGATATTGATTTGAATGGAAGATGAATTAAATGCAGGATAGATATTAGATAGTATGGTATTTATTGCGTTATGTCTGTAGAGTGGAGTAATTAATGTCGGGTCGGCTCTTGAGTTTCCTAAGGGGCAAAATTGAAATATCAGCACAGCACAGTAGGTTGTTGTGGCGAACAGTAAAGATCCCAACAGAACGTACAGTTGCCATCCACCAGCCCATACAGGAACCATTATTACATACATCCATACGTACACGTTGTAAACAGTAACGGGAGTAGTGTACAACTTTTGTAAATAAATAAATAAATATCAAAATATAATCATATATAATAGCTAAAGTATTTTATTATTAATTATAATTTAAAATGTCATACTCCCTCCTCCTATATAACTTGTCCTTTTTATTTTTGAAATATAATTATACACTTTAATCGCATTTTAAATTTTATAATTTTTTTAATTTTAATTAAACTATTTACTTATCTTAATCTCTTAATTACTTACTAATTATACTTTACCTAAATTCTCGTGTCTACAGTAATATGCCCGGAGGGAATAATACTTTTGTATATATAAATATATTTTATTTTTTCACTTAAACAAAGATTCACGTCGTTATACATATATTTTTAAATTATTTTATTCATGAGCAATACCAGCTCAGACTTGAATCCATTATTGTACTCTTGCCCTCAATTTGTTTATAAATTGTTATTATTAGTATAAAAGTTTTATTATAAAATTATTAAATTAAATATTTATTTTTATATTATATTAGTATTTTAATTTATAATTCAATATGCTAACATATTCAAAATATTATATTCATAATTATCCATTTTTATTATATCAAATTTTTATTATTCAAAATTTGTCCTCAAGCCTCAAATCTACCAACATTCTAATCCATTTCTATATATATATTTTTTATTTCATACATTTTTTTTTAATCTTCAATAAAATAAAATAAAGTTAGGAGAGTTTTTCATGACCAAAATATGTGACGTAAGATACCAAAAACTGATAGTATTAATAATATCTGCTATGATATGCATGTAAGTAACGTCACTTCAGTTACATGAAAATTATTTGTCCCACCACCCACCACTCACCATTTTTTATTAAAAATAAAACTTAATAATTTAATTTCCGATAAAAAAATAAAAAGAAAAAAAATTTAATACTCCCTCTGTCCCATAATAAAGTATCTATTTTTTTATTTTAATCCGTCTCATAACAAAGTATTCATTTTTTTTAGTAACTGTACTATCTACTTAATATTATAAATATCCTTACAACTTACAATATATTATACAAGTGACATTACTTTTATATCACACATACTAATAAGGTTATTTTAGTCATTTTTACTTTATTTCTACTATATCCCAATATAATACTAATATTTCTAAAATTATATGCAAAAAGCAAATAAATATTTAGTTTCGAGACGGACAAAGTAATTTAATTTATACACAGCGAAGTCAAATTTAAAATAAATATAAATTCGCTATCATTCAAAAAAATACTATATCAAATTTATAACGTTCATCACTCAAATAATATTGTTTTTTTTTTTATAATTTTTTATACAAATATATTACTCCATTTTTTACAAAATATTAAATTATTGTACTATTATTTAAACTAAAAATTAAAATAAATTAAAGATTTAAACTCGTGACGTAACGCATCACAAATTCATATCATTGCAAAAAGAATTTTAAAATAATAATAATAATAAGTTTTCCTAACCCAAAATGTCTTACGTAATATTTATTAATGAATCAATAATAAAAATGGTGTCTAATGTAAGAAAAACAAATATTTAATGGTGTCAATAATAAGTTTTTTATTATTATTATTAATTTATGATTATTGAGTTTGTATTTGAATTGGGTTTTTTAATACTATTTATTTAAAAAATAATATATTTTTATTGAAAAAATAAAAATATATAAATAACTACGAAATACAAACACATACACCAAAATGGGCCTAAAGAGCATAACATAATAACTGAAATTTAGGCCCAATTTGATGGGCTTTAACATTTTTATATTCTTAACAAGTCCATTAGGGTAAATTTGTGAAAGGTAATTGGAAGAATCATCGTCGACTCACCGGCGAAGTGCTCCCAAAATCAATCTTCCGCAACTTTCATCTGGTCGGTGAACTTCCTTTCCTTTCTCTGCGTTTATGATATGCTTGGTTTGCCATGATTGCTGTAAAATCTGAATTTCTCCATTTTCATTCGATCTGAATAATTATGTGTATGATTTTCGTTTTTATCCGGTTTCGTTGGCCTGAATGATTTTTTCGAATGTTTTGGTATTTTAATTGGTGAGTACCAGATATGGTACTCTTTTTGGTTGCGGTAGGTGTATGATTGGAGCAATTATTGGTGTTCTTTATGGAGGTTGAGTGACATTTTTGCTAAGCTGATATTGAGAAATGTAGAAATTTTGTTTATTTTCTGCTGATGGGCATGTGTAGTTACGTGTGCCTTCTCAGTCTCCAAAATGGCCATTAATGGAATTTGGATATTTGCTTTCAATAATACGCAACGAAATCAATCGAGAGGCTGCACAGTCGCGGGATGGGCGGCGGCCGGAGTAGCAGCAGCAGTAGCGGGGAGGAAGACGGTGATGCTGAATGGAAAGCAGCCATAGATTCCGTCACAGCCACCTCGATCTTGTCCAACCGCAGCAACCTCAATGCCTTGCCTTCCTCTTCCAACGGAAACCAATCAAAAAACAACAAACCTCCAACCACCAAGCATTACCAAATCAAGGTATCGCCTCTTGTTTCTCAAACATCCTTTAATCTCTTAGCTCCAAAATTGGAAGGAACCATTGGTGAGTTAGCATTGATATTGATCCATCCAATCTTTGCCTGCAGCCGGATTCGTTTGTAGCAATCCGAGTTTTATATGCCTCTGCAATTTCATACATTGTTTCTCGATTTGAAGTCTCTGAGTTTGGTTTACTCCAATGATTGAAATCCCTAACGTTATTCATTTATCTTTGTTTTATTTGAAACCCTACTTTTTAGGGATTTAACACTTGCTAAAAGGAAAAAATACTGAGTGTTTACATGCTAAATGGGGACAAATACTTTGTCATAATTGTTGTGTGCAAATAAAAATGTCAATGACAGGTGTTGAGATGACATTTGGATCAAACTATTGAATTGGGTACAAAAACGTACTCATAATTGTTGTGTGCGAATCAAAATATCAGACGACAGACATTGAAATTGTTTGATGACATTTTCGATCAAACTATTGAATTGGGGACAAAAACTCCGACTCATATTTGATGTCTGCGAACCAAAATGTCGATGACAGGCATTGAAATTATTGGATGACATTTTGGATCAAACAATTGAATTGGAGGCTGCTGATGCACCTCAACCTCCGAAGAAAGAACCTACAGAGTACGCCGACACCGGTGTCCAACTCTTCAGGCGTGCCCCTCATGGAATAGTGTTCGATCATGTAGGTAAGGAAATTTCCAAGTCTATTTTTACTTGTCGATACAATAATTCCTTGGACTGCCTCTTTGATTTGAATCTTCATATGAAACTTGTTTAGTTTCATTGCTAACTCATGTTGTATGGCAAAAATGTCGCTAGATGAGCTCCACGGACCAAAAAGAAAACCAAAAATCATTCCTGGAGAAGAGATCATCGAAAACTCCAAGAAGGTGTGTAATTTCATCTGCACATTCGACCATTTATCCGTCTTCTCAAATTTCATTTTGTTTGCCTTGTTCTGTCTGCTATTTTGTAGTTTAAAAAGCAACTTAAGTCTGTCGTTGTTGATGGGGTGGACATCGTATTTGCTGCGAATGCTGCTCGCCACAAGTTGTTAGCAAAACTTGAAGCTAGAGAAGCGGCTGCCCTCGCAGCCGCAAGACGAGAGGAAGAGCGAGTGGAGAAGCTGAAAAAAATCCGGGGAGAAAGATGGCTGCCGTCGTTGGCCGGAAAAATGCAGGGCAAGGGGAGATGATAGCATTCATACACAAATGCAACGTTGGTTGTGCTAATTAGACATCTTTAATCAAATGATCACACAAGGTATTTCTTATAAAGATTCTACTTACATTTTTAGCATAGCCCAGACTCTTTTTTTTTTTTCAGTCTTTAGGAAATTTTGAGGTTTTTGTTTGTAATAATGCATTTGTTTTTGTTATTTTCTTGAGGAAAAATACTCTACTTACTAGCATTCAGGCTTTGTTGAGAGTTGAGACAACGTTTTGGAATTTTGGCACTATTTTAATTCTTTGGGTGTGTTTGTTTGGAGTATTGAATTTTAAATCTTCTATTCATTTCATTTTTTTTTCCCGAAAATATCGAATCAAACACCTAATTTTTATTTTTTATATTATACTAAAAATTAATTTTACATTCAAAATATCACATCAATATATATTATTTAGTATTCAAATTCAAAATTTTTACTGTTGAAATCCCAACTTCGAAACCTCCAAATAAACACACCCTAAATATACTACTTCAAAATTTTCGGCACTATTTCAATTCTTTTTTAATTCTAAAATTTCTGATAATTAGACTAAACAAGACCTGAAATATTAAATTTAGAATTAAGAACATTCATTTTGATTGTACTTTATATTTATTAATTTCTTAAGTAATTAATGAATATATTTCGAATATGATTTTCTGAAAGATAAACATATAGTCCATAGTACAATTAGTTTTTTTTTTATTATTATTATTATGAATTAATAAATTTGTTTTTTATCTTATATATAGAAAAAAATGATAAATAAATTAAATAAAAGAGTAAATTTTATGTATAAAAATAAAAAAAGAACAATAATTATTGAATGTTTTAAATAAAAAAATGAAATATTATTTATGAACTGAGAGAATATTTTTTTTAAAAAATATTTATTAATTATAATATTTGTATAAAGAGAAAATTTGTATGATAAAAGAATAATTTCTAACTTCAAAGAAATACCCTAAGAGTTTGAATTTTTTAATAATAAAAAATTTAATTTTAATAATAATTATATATGATATTTTAAATATAATATAAAAATTCATTTTCACAAGAAAAAACGCAAGTTAAGCTATTTTAAATATATGTTTAAATATTTCTTGACAAGGCTTGGATAAATGGGCCTTTGATAAGTGAAAGTTAAGCCCAATTTAAGGGTTTTAAGTATTTTTATATTCTGAACAAAGCCCGTTAGGAATTAAACCCAATTTGAAGGGCTTTAAGTATGTTTATATTCTTAACAAAGCCCATTAGGAGTAAAATCGGCAATAGGAATCAGTCGTCTACTCTAGCCGTTTACATCTCTGCGAGAAATCGGATCGGCAGACCGCTCCCAAAATCGATCTATCAATCATCGCTGCACCTCCTATTCTGCAATCTTCCGCAACTTTTTTCTGGTCGGTGCACTTATTTTCCTTTCTTTGTGTTTATGAAATGCTTTGTTTGTAATGATTGCTGTAAAATCTGAATTTCTCCATTTTTACTCGATCTAAATATTTATCTGTGTATACTTTTCTTTTTTATTTGGTTTTCTTGCCCTGAATTATTATTATTATTTTTAATTTTTTAGTATTTTAATTGGTGATTACAGTTACGGTGCTCTTGTTGGTTGCGTTTAGGTGTTTGATTGGAGCAATTATTGGCGTTCTTATTGGAGGTTGTGTAAGATTTCTGCGAAGCTGATATTGAGAAGTATATAAATTTTGTTTATTTTCTGCTAATGGATATGTGCAGATACTTGTGCTCCTCTCAATTGTTTCTTTGGCTTCTGAAATTATAGAAATTTTACGAGTGTAGGAAATATGTGATGTTGCATTCTTATTGTGCCTTTTAATTAAGATTTTTAAAATGCTGTATGTATTCTGAAAGAAATTTGTGTATGTGTTCATGTATTTACCAGATATATATATATATATATATATCCAGAAAGGGGAAAAAAAAAAAAAAAGAAAAAGAAAAAAATATTGTGCAAAGAAGTGGATGAAGTAAAGCTAATTCATTTTGTTTGAATGCTAAAGTTATTTGGGTCATAGTGCTGTAGGAAGCAATTCTATTGGGTTTTCTTTCACTTTGTTATTGTTATGGCAACTATCCTTCTATTGTTCTTTTCCATTTTGTGTCCTTAACTTTTTGCAAATTGAAAGATGGAAACCTGCCATGAAAATACATTATACATACCAGGCTATGACTGTGGTTGTAGTTATTTCTGTTGTGTTCATGTACTTTGTCTTGAACTATATATATTAGATAAGTAGGCTCATTTACGATTAGACTATATTTGATAAATGGGTCGTGAACAAAGATAGGCCAAGATAAATGTTTGAGTTTACTTTTGCCAAATTTCATACTGTTTGAACCCTTCTGTATTTCTCTCGTTTCATTTCATGTTCAGGAGGCTTGCGATTGTGGAAATCTTAGTAGGAATCGGTTCAGACTAGAAGGTTTTAGAAATTGCAGCCTTTGATTTACGTTTCTATAGATCCAGCAACGGTTCCTCTGACTTATTTTCTGGAAGAAAGGTGTGTGCATGGCAATACTTTTTGTTATCGATTGCAATTTTGTTTAGTTTTGGAGAAATTGATTGACTGAATATTAAAAAACTTATAAAATCGAAATGCATTTGAAGACACCATCATGCCTTATAAGTTCGACTTTTTATCCACACCCTTTGGCGTATGTATACTCGTGCCAATTGTTAAGGCTAGTGTCTCTAAATTTTTGTCCTTGAAAATTTCTTCAGGAATTGATTATTGATATGTTCTAATATTTGAATCTTACTTGTAGGTGGTATTCCATCTGTAAATAGCTGTTTAACCGAGGACTAACATTGAGAAATGGAATTGAATTCCATCAAGGATGCTTTTGATCGCGTCACAAAGAAGCAAAAGCTTTCATCCTCAAAATCTCAAGAAATAATTGCACAAGTTTGTCAAGAAATTGAGCAAGCTATATCAAGAATACAATCCGGACAAGAATCTGCATCTCCCTCTGATCATAAACCGATACTCAACGAACTGAAAGCCAAGCTGAAAGGCGTTGCACCACTCAGCCAAATGGAAGACACACAAAAGGATCTGAATATTTCCCTGAGCAAATACTCGAAGCTTCTCGAGAAATCTTTCATCCCCGACATTTCCAAGGCTTATCGCAATGTCGACTTTGATATCCACAGTATTAACCAAATAATTGCCTGCCATTTCTACCGGGAGGGCCTCTTCGATCTTGGTGACAGTTTTGCAGATGAATGCAGAGAACCAGAGGCAAAAGAAAAGAAAACCCCTTTTCTCGAAATGTTCCATATCCTCGAAGCCATAAAATGTCGAAAACTTGAGCCTGCTCTAACTTGGGCCATGAAGAATCACGACGAGCTGACACAGACTGGATCCAATATCGAATTAAAGCTCCATCGCCTTCAGTTTGTGGAAATATTGCAAAACGGAACCAGAGGCGAAGCTCTAAAGTATGCTCGAACCTTTCTGGCTCCTTTTGGCGCCAAACATCTGGCCGAAGTCCAAAAGCTTATGGGCTGTCTTTTATGGGCCGGACGGCTCGATTCCTCGCCATATTCAGAATTACTCTCCTCTGTTCATTGGGACAAACTCTCGGAAGAACTTACCCGGGATTTCTGCAATCTTCTTGGGCAATCCTATGAAAGTCCATTGAGTGTAACAATTGCTGCTGGAGTTCAAGGTCTGCCGACACTCTTGAAGCTGATGAATGTGATGTCGGGGAAAAAGCAGGAATGGCAGTCCATGAAACAATTACCTGTGCCAATCGATTTGGATAAGGAGTTTCAGTTTCATTCGATATTTGTGTGTCCGGTCAGCCGGGATCAAGCGAGCGAAGAGAACCCTCCGATGCTATTGACTTGCGGACATGTTTTGTGCAAACAATCTATTGCAAAGTTGTCGAAGAACAACAGCACGCGGCCGTTCAAGTGCCCCTATTGCCCGTCGGAAGTCGAAGCAGGTCAGTGTAAGCAGTTGTATTTCTAATAATACTGATGTTTTTATTCATTTCTCCAATTAATAGCAGATGAACATTGTTTGCAATTTATAGCAGCAGCCGTTGTTCAAATGGTATGTGTTGTTTAGTTGATAAGTAGCATTATTTTGGATTCGACTTTGATGACAATGTTTGGATTGGTGTGTGTGTGTGTATATATATATGTTTGTATATTCTTTGCAGCTTTGGCATATTTAGCTTAGCAGCATCACATACTGTTTTGCCACCATTTTACTTAATTGTTTGGGAAGTTAAGAAAATATGTCCAATGTATATGTTATAAGTATATGTTATTTTTTAAAGAATATAATTTTATATAATAAAAATAAAGAAAATATATATTAAAATTATACATTATGAATTTTAAAATTAAATTTAATATATATTTATGTTATTAATCAAATCAATACATATTTATAAATTTTTTCTTTATTTTCATTTTTATTAAAAAAAATAAATGTGAACAAGTTTGAATAATAGAGGAAATAATTTTTATTGTCATTTTCGGAAAAACACCCAAGAAACTAAAAGAAATAAATATATTGAAGATGAATAAATTGTAGAGAAAGTGAAAGAAACACACCAAGTTATTAGATAAAACATGAATAATGTAGGCAATGAACATAAATGCCCTCCAAGCAATATTTGTGAAGTGTAACCTTACAAAAATTATGATAATAATAATAATAATTATAAGTTTCCATGAAAATAAAAAAACTCTTAAAGAACACATAGAGAAAGAAAAATCACCAACAGGACGAGGGCAATAACATGTTTTCCCCATCCTTACAAATCAATGCAAAAATGTGTAGAAGATCGAGATCAGTTTCCATGATTATTGGCTTTCCTTCCAAAGCAAACTCAAGAATAAAAATAAAGAGGAGAGGGAAAAAAATAAAAATCGAACCTGCTGCAAACATACTCATGGCTTCAGAGCAAGCGCTACACCGAACCTCGGGGTCTTATCCAAGGCCTTGGTGTCGAACTCGCTGGATATGGTCACAAGCGATTTGGGGATGACTTCGTGCTGGAGAACAGTGGCAAGAGAGCCATGATTGTTCAGCTTCAGTTTCACCTGAGTCAGGTTGTCGATGGCGCAAGACCCTCCGACTGTGAATGTGTTCTCGTTCGTCGAGAATCTTCTGGAAATCTCTCCCACAGCAGCACTTCTCTTGGATTGATCTAAATAGTGCACGTACGACGCCTTTATGGTGTCGCCTTTGTCTCCCCTGTGTGTGTGGAAAAGCGAAGAATTAAAGCTAAAAGGGAAACAAGTCTGTGTCGATTATCTGTGACATAACATAATATTGAGGCGAATGTGAATTACTGACTTACAAAATTACAGAAGCGCACGAATCTGGTTTCGTCACGGAGATGCCTGCAGTGTATTTTGTTAACTTGGAAGAAGTGGTTTCGTAACCCGCCTCTGCGCCTAAAGCAAAGGTGGGAGTGCCGAGGGTGACAGAAAAATCGATTGCGGGAGTTTGGTTCAGGCCGACGGCTGCAGTGAGGGATGCGTGGGGGTGGAAGTATTGAAATTCCAACTGCAACAAAAATATTTAAGAAAAGAATAAACAGAAGGGTATTGAAGTTGATTCAATGTAAAATAATGAGTTACAGTCCACCTTGCTAGATTGGTATAAAGGATGTTTTATGGTGGCAACAGTTTTCGACGAGGGGATGATATTCGCAATAGTCACAGTTGCCAAGATCTGAAAAGGAATATGATCGAATAAGTAATACGAAAACCAAGGTGTTAAGACATGATATAAAAGCTTTAACTCTCACGTTTGATTCGGTATCAACTTTCAGTTCGGTGGCAGTGTTCTTGTATTTGTAGAGCGCAACCACATCTCCAGATGTGTAGCCTCCTTTTCTCACTGTCGATGTTGTAAGGGCCTGTATTGAATAATTTTGTTACTATAATGTGTTCTTAAATTTAAAATAGCAAACAACTGGTACATTCGCAGATTCAGTGTATCGATTGCTTATACTCTTACATACCAATTTTACCTTTATTGGCACGTTCGATCAATCATCATACAGTAAACACATAATCTAAATGCAAAAAGTTCAAGCAAATAACGATGATACTGTTGTTGCTTAACGGAATGCAGGCCTTCATGTAATAAGACATAAATCTGGACTCTATGCAAAGCAAATACTTCTAAAGCTCTGCAATCGGCCTTCCTAGGAAATAATGTAACTACTGTATACATTGAATGACATCCAAGGTGAAATAATAATATGCAAATCAAACAATAAAAAAAAGTTTATTATTTACAGATTTAAAAGGAGGAAAACAGACCACCCAAAACATGAGAACTAAGAAATACATAAAATTGTCCGTATGTAAAAGCAAAAGGTGGAAGTTTGCGAGTCAAAAAGAAAACCAAAAGACTAATCTATGGCACGACTCAAGCACAGTTTAAGAGACATGGCAATTATAAACCATGCATAAACAATCAAGCACAAACAAATAGACCATCAACATATAAGTACTGGTAGTTTGGTATGATTGAGAAATCATAAACCAGAGTTTAATATTCAACACAAATAGAGTTTCGACACTAATGGGAGCTACCTAAGTCCATTTTCCACCCTAAATGCCAAATGCTAGAATGGAGAATCACATTTTTTAAGCATAGACTTTACTAATTACTAGGGGGATGCATTGTGTCAAAAATAATTGAAATCCTGCAATACATTGCGAAAACAAGAAAATAAGCTAATACAAGCACTCGAATGCACACACCGGTGTAATAGGAAGCAAGTGTTGCAAACTAAATCATATAAAAATTATACCACTCCAGACTCGCTGTAGGTGGAGACCGAGAACTTGTGATCCGACAGGTAGTCCCTGGTCAGCAGATCTACAAATCAAAACTCGTAAAAATGATAAGTCTGGTATAAACCAAAACTTAAAAAACCAAAAATATAATGCAACAAATCAAATCAAATAAAAACTGCTAGATCAAACCTTTGGCTTTCTTGCCAATGTCGAGAAACAATCCTGGTCCGCTGCTCATTTTCCTTCCTAGATCTGTCGGTCAATTTATGGGCAAGATTGCTGGCACAGGAGTAAAAAGAGGCAATGTTACAAGAGGAAGAGAAAATTGGGGCAACAGAAATTTTCGTGGTAAACATGAACCATTGTAGGTGGAGGAAGAGAAAATTGGGGCAACACATTTTAACTGCTCTTATGTTAGATTTATTTCCACGGGAATAACTACAGCTACTAGCATGGTCTGAAATATATTTCAATGTCTTAGGTTCCCATGTTGTTATATTGTGTTAGCTGCTGCACTTTATTCATGGCATCTAAAGTGCAATCTTCCTATTTGCAAATAAATCAAGGAGACAAAATGGAAAATGATAGAAGGATAGTTACCAGAAACAATGAAATCTCCTTCAACTAATCTGGCTAAATGACAGTTTAGAAATATTAAATATGGCTTTTTGTTTCAGCACAAAGCATTTGAGATGATTTCATTATTGACAAAAAGTCTTTTAATTTAAACATGAATGAGGCGTATCCAATTCATCCCTATAAGAAGAAGATTATTTTTCACAACAATAGCCCAATCCTAGAGGGAGTGGGCATAAGATGCATCTAGAAAGTTAAAAGAGCATTAAAGCAAACATTTCAACATAAATTCAAAGGAAGTAATTGCACTATGAAAAATATTCATTGAAGATACGGAACATCTTTAATGCTAAAGCAGATACTGGAAGATTTTGAACGAAGTAGGGAAGGATGATACAAAAGTGCAACACTAATTCGAAGAAGCCAGCAATATTGTTAAACATCAAAGTCAAACAATTAAACAAGAAAAACTAATTTCATTGAGTGAAACATCATAAAATTCAGGAAATATACGTTTCTTGCTTCTTGACCATTGAGAACTTGATAATTAAGATTTCAATCTCATCATCATACTTCATCAAGCCATCAAGCTTCCTACACTGATATCCACATTAATTAATGCATTATAAAGCTCTAGATCTTCATGGAACTAAGAACAGATAAATTTGATCAACAAGGCTCATGCCATACTTGCATCATTCACACATCAACACAATTAATGTTGCATTTTTTACAGGTCATCAAAAACAACCACAGGCTAAAAGAACATTAAAATTCCGAATTTCAGATAGAACCATTCATAGGAAAAGATCCAAGGAAAGAAAATTAGGCAAACTTTGGGCATGAAGAACCTTAAAATTCCAAAGAAATAAAATAAGAATAAGATAGATCTGACATACTATCATGGAGATGAAGCACTTGCATCATAAGTAGTATTAAAACTAGTCACAAAACCAAACTAAGACACACCATTAATAATTTTCATATAATTATTAATATACAAAACTAGCTTGTCATCCTCTTGTAATTACAAATAGGTGGTCAATGACCTCTGGGCCTCTGGCAAGGTAAGGTCCATATAGATTGGGATATTGGGATGTGGTCTATATGCAAAAAGGGCATATTCTATTTTGGTTAAATAATTCCGAGAAAGTGAGTGGTTCATCGATTCAGATCCCAGAGGTGGATACAGCAGTACAATCGCAGACTGTAATGTGGGATGGAAGCTTGGTAGTTGCAGCAAACAATTATGGAACTGAAACCGAACTAATTTCAACTTAACTGGGAATTATGTTTCAAGACTTGACTTCATTGTATTATCCCTATGGGCAAACTATGACCAGTTTTGAGCCGTTGCATAAGCTACAGGCTCATGATTTATACAAAACATCCTTAAAAATCTCATTTCTCCGGATCCCCGTGAATCGAATCAAACTAATCTATAGTAAATATATGAGCACAGACACAGGATTCTTTTAGATTACACACAGCATTTAAAAATCCTACCTTCTCGTGAGATGGATCAGTTGTCTAAATTGAACACAGCACAATAAGAATGCTACATCACATATTCCCTATAATCATAAACTTCGATGATGTCATAAACAAAATTTCTAAATTTCTCAAAATCAGCTTAGCAAAAATTTTACACAACCTTCAATAAGAACAATAATTGCTCCAATCAAGTCATCAAAAAAATACTATATAAATAAATAATTGATCCAATCACACACCTACTGCAACCAAAAAGATAACGTAACTGGTACTCACCAATTAAAATAATAAAAAATTCGAAAAAAATAATTCAGGGCAATAAAACCGGATGAAGACGAAAAGCATACACAGATAATTACTCAGATCGAATGAAAAATGGAGAAATTCAGATTTTACAACAATCATTACAAACAAAGCATATCATAAACGCAGAGAGAGGAAGGGAAGGAAGTGCACCGACCAGAAGAAAGTTGCGGAAGACTGCAGAATAGGAGGAGGTGCAGCGATGATTGATTGATAGATCGATTTTGGGGAGCACCTTCGCCGATCCGATTTCTCGCAGAGATGTAAACGGCGAGAGAGATTCTTCCAATTTCTTTTGACGATTTTATCCCTAATGGGCTTTGCTAAGAATATAAAATAATTTGGGCCTAATTTTCAGTTCCCATTTAGGTTCGGAACGGCCATGGGTTCGATTTTTACAGTAAATTTTTAAAACCGTCAATAATATAAAAAAATAATATTAATAATAATTTTTTTTTTTGAATTATTGAATTTTGTGAGAGAAATAATATAAATATATTTTGAAAATTGTATCGAAAAAAATACTTGAGTAAATTATTTATTTATAATTGTATTTTTTTTCAAAATAATACTTATATACTGTATTGAATATATTATAAACCTTAAAACACTTTAATATATATTTTTTGAATTAATTTTTAATCAAATATATACTACACTATAATACCACTATTAACCAAACAACATTTCATTCCAATAAGTTACATCAAATTTTCAATTGCAATTCAACTGACAAACAAATAGACTATTTAATTTTAAATGTTTATGTTATGGCAAACTATTTTAAAATTTATTAGTTATCTAAAAAATATTATTCATATATATAGAGTATTTTTTTTATTTTAAATTTGAAGTCTTTAACTTTTCTTTTTTTTATGTAAAGCACGTAGGAACATAGTATTTTTTTTGTGAATTGATTGTATAAGTGTATTATATATACTATGTGAATTTATATCTATTGTAATATTTTTTAATTTTAATTTGAAAGCATATATTTTTTTTTATTAGGTGAACACACTTATAATTCTTCTCAACAATTATATATATATATATATATATCTGGCGGAGCGAATTTGAACTATTGTATCATATTATATTATCGGCCACATATAATAAATATGTTATTTTTTTTAAGGGGAGGACTTGAACATTTAAAATACACTCGTTTTAATAAAAATAAATAAAAAAAAAATACTTGATAAAAATAGGCTACTTTTTGAAAAATATTTTAAAATAATAAAATATTTTTAACAAACTTCTAACAACTTAAAAATTCACAATGACTAACAACAAAAATACTATTCTTAATTAATATACTAAAATGACTAACGTCTTTTAGAGTTGTAAACGAGTCGAACAGAGCTGAGCTTGTCATGTTTGAGCTCGGCTCGTTAAGGACTCGAGCTCGGCTTGTGTTCGTTCGTTGACATATACCAGTTGAAATTTTTGTTTAAGCTCGGTTCGTTTAACAATTTTTTTGTTCGTATTCGGCTCGACTCAGCTTATTAAGAGAAATTTTATTTAATTTCTTTCAAAAATTTAAATTTAGTTAATAATAATTATAATTTTTATTAATAAATTTGAGAAAAATATATATAATATAATATTTATAAAAATGTATATACTTATTAAATATAAAATAATTAATTTAATTTTTTTAATAAATACTATCGAACATTCGCGAACAAGCTCGAGCTCGTTCATAAACATAACGAGCCAAAATTTATATTCGTGTTCGGCTCGTTTAGCTTAACGAATGAGCTTTTAGCGAGCTCAAACGAGCCAAACCGAACCGAGCTCGCGAAATGTTCATTTATTTTACAGCTCTAACGTCTTTATATATATATATATATATATATACTAGAGCTTATTTTCGCGATGAATGCCACTTGAGTGCTTTATAATGTAAAAGATTTTGACATGCATTGTCGGGAATATAATAGAATTCATTAAAATTATATATAGATATTTTCGCTAAAGATGTATATACGTAATCTTCTGGCGCCAATTGCGCTACGTTCATCTATTAGCATAATTATTGTAGCTTTAGAAAATCTCCAAAGGGTGTTGGCTGCGCTACATTCGTCTATTCGCATAATTGAAAGAATAAAAACAAAAGAAAAAACATCGCAATTGGCGGTTCACTCTTTAGGAGTGGCTAACAGACATCGATACACTCAAATAATTGCAGATAATATCTTTCTATATTTTATCAGAAAAATAAAATAAAATTTGACATTCTTAGTTGTTTTGTCGTGTAGAAATTACATCGACATTATAATATTTATGTGTACATTTCCATTTATGTGTACATTTCCTTAGCACGCGATGCACGATATAATATAAAATTTATTATTACATATACCTTCGAAAATCTCATGTAGGAGATATTGATAGCAACAAATTTGTCTTCATTCATTCTTTCCGTCAAATATCGATGAAGAAAGTATGATTAATAAGATTTTATTCTCTTATAATTTGATGTCTGCTTTATTATTATTATTTTTTTTAAATATGTGCAATAATTAATATTTATTTATTCATTATTCAAAAAAGAAATAAAATAAAATTCTAAAAGAATATATAAATCGAATCTTTCAAGTTTAAAATAGTGAAAATAAGTAAATGAATAAATCTTAAGATCAATAATTGGGTAACAATTGTCTCATTTATATAAATAATAATATCACCGTAAAAGTATCCATACTTTTTCATTATTATTACACAATTATCACTACTTTTTACACTAATATACTCACAAGGGTAAAAAAATTATTTATTCTTACTTTCTACCAACTACCAATATAATACTAATGTTTATTAAATATCGTGCCAAATACAATAAAACTATACTTTTGGGACTGAGGGAGTATTAATGATATTTACAAGATATAGTTAATGTTAAAAATAATATATGTTGTACATAGTATTAAAAATCAATTTATATGTTTTATTGTATTAATATGTAATAATATGTTGAGATCAACTACGATATATATTTTGCATAAATTATTATTATTATTATTATTATTTGTCGATTTATTTATTATATTTAAAATGTTGTCAATACGATACTGTGCATGCAACAGAGTTGTCGGGGAATCTAACAAACTTAGTGAAAAGAACAAGGAACCTTAAATGCTGATATCGACACCCATTTATGCTGTGACGTAATGTGACGCAATCAAATGATACATAAATCCAACTGCAGTTGATTGCTTGCGCTCTGTTTGTTTGATTTTCCTTCTTTTTTTTAAGATTTCATATCGGTTTTTGTATTGTTCTTTCTGTATGTAAAATTATCAAATAGTAGTACATATTTATGTCGTATTAAAAATTATTTTAATTAAGGTGTGTTTGTTTGAAAGTTCGAATTTGTATTTCGTACAAAAATTTGAATTGAAATAGTTGTTTAATATGATATCAATAAATATTAATTTAATATTTTAAGTATAAAATTAATTTTAAATTTAATATTTTTTTATCTCATAACTAGATATTCATTTGTTTTTTTTATTTAATTTTAAAATTATTTAAAAATATTATAATTATATGTGTAATTTTATATTAGTATTATAAAATATTAATAAAAGTATTTTTATTTTATTTTTAATTTATACTATATTTTAATATAATAATTAATATTAAAAAAATTACACATAAAAAATAAATATATGACGATTGTAGCCGAACCAAGTCAATACTATTTAAAATTATTTTTGAATACAATCCTTCAAGTCTATTGGGCGCCTGAAAAGATAGTGGTCAATTTAGTAAGTGACGTAATCGAGGGCCAATCTTATGTCATGATAATGACATTTGTGTATTTGTTTGTTTGTTTGAGGTTTGTGATTTAAGTTTAAAATTTAATTACTCCATGAATAAAAATTAAAAACTGTTTGTTAAGGGTTTTTTTAAATAGATTTTTTATAATTTATGTTTTTTTTTTTCCTAAAACAAAATATCAAATCAAATCCATTTTATTCATTTTTTATATTTTCCCCGTCTCATAACAAAATATTTATTTTTTCATTTTAGTCCGTCTCATAACAAAGTATTTTTTTTTAATAACTGTACTATCTACCTAACATTACAAATACTCTTACAACTTACAATATATTACACAAATTTTATTATCTTTATATCACAGATACTAATAAAATTATTTTAGTCATTTCTACTTCATCTCAATATAATACTAATAATTTTAACATTGTGTAATTAAGAAATATATTAGTAAAAATAAATATAAATTAAGATGATAACTAAATAGTTTAATTAAAATAAAATAATTATGAATTATCAATTTTAAAAATGTGATTAAAATGTATAATTATTTATTTAAAAAATAAATGACAAATTATATAAAATATACCCAGATAAAAAGAGTAGACAAATTATGTGATCGGGGGTATTACATAATAATAATAATAATAATAATAATAATAATAATAATAATAATAATAATAATAATAATAATAATACTCCCTCCGTTCCACATATTGTGTCTGCTACACCGTAGACACGGTATTTTAGGAGGGGTATAATTAGCAGATAATTAAGAATGTATTAGTGAAAATAATTATCTTATAATATAAACAATTATAAATTAATATTAAGATAACTAATTAGTTTAATTAAATTTTTTTTAAAAAAAATTAAAATTTAAAATGAGATTAAAGTGTGTAATTATTTTTCAAAAAATAAAAGTGACGTGGAATGAGGAACAAATAGAAACGACAAAGTAGACATAATACGTGGAGGGAAGGAGTAATAATTAGACGAAGGAGGGAAGGAATAATGATGACGACAAAGAACATTCGATGATGATGTCGAGCTATTGCCATCAACACTTCAGACCATCATTATTCATTACTGCTGTCTTGGCCCGACGATCGACCCGACCCGACCCGACCCGACTGAAATGAATTCGTTCATCCAAACAAATCAGTGTTAATGCATGTGTCAATTTTAGTTCATTTATTTTTAAATTGAAACTTTTTGATTTCTTATCCAATTTTAACGGCAGATAAAAATAAAATAAATAAATTTGTTTTATGGATAAGGAATCTGAACTGTCCATTTAAAAATAAATGAACTAATATTAGCATAAGGGTACATACAATGAACAAAAGATAATTTACTATTTTTTTTATTTTTTATTTTTTGGAGGTTTGTGACACTATTTATTATTATTATTATTATTTTCAAATGCATTTGACCAAATACATATTTTTTAATCAAATATTAATTTTTTATTATTTAAATTTTATAAAAAAAATAAAAATAAAAACTATCAAATTCAAAAAATCTCTATTGGTCACAATATATATATATATACATATATATTTGTATATATGTATGTATTTGTGTGTGCGCATTTTTTTGTGTATATAAAGGCAGAGAAACTTGAGCCTCCATTAATGAAGAAGCTGGTGAAGGCAGGCAATCCCATGCATAGCCATATTTATGTAGGAACTTCACAGGAGAGGATAATCTTGTAATAAACCCACTCTATATGTCTTTATTTATTTATTTATTTTTCTCTACTCTTTTTATATTAATTATATATATATATATAATCATTTTCGTTGAGAGTAATTACTTTCTCGAAAATCTCATTGATATATATATATATATAGGTGAGTGTACGTAGTTGGTGATTTTATTTTATTTTCAATTGTAAAAATTAAATAGTAAAAAAAATAAATAAAGTAAGTGAGTTAAACCCATAAATTTTTTAATTAGTTATATCGAACCTAGACACAATAATCTCATTATGCAATTTGGGTTTAAATTACTTATTATTGAAATGTTATATACTTTAAAAGCAACTATTTTCTTAATTTCTTCAAAAATCTTCATGTATCTCTCATATATGTCCTTAACTTATACTACTTTTTATTTTGTTCATTAAATGAACTTAATATGCAAAGAGTTTTGTATGTTATCAAATAGTTGAATATATTACATTCATCTTCCCTAAAAAATTTAAATGAATATATTATTAATTACATATTATATAATCTTTCGACATTCTTCGTTCGATAACTGCAGCAAATGACGACCAACTCATTGCTCATGGATCCTTTCGATCAAGAAGACCTCTCGGCCATATTTCGCCAACGTATCCACAATTTCATCGCGCCCTCTTCCTCCGTGCCTTTCACAAACATTTCTTGCTTCACTTCCCTACCTCCATCCACTATAGAGCAACCAAGATTTCAATCACTCGGCCTCGCCAAAACGATAAAATCCGACCACAATCCTATCGCCAATTGCCAGGCAATAATCAAAGATGCGATTAATTTGATATTATTATTATTATTATTATTATTATTATTATTATTATTATTATTATTATTATTATTATTATTATGGTTAATATGCTCGTTAATCTTACGATTGTATAGGTAGTGTCGAGCCATCGCTCGGCACCGACCACCAAGAAAAAAAGCCCCCGACGAATTCGGGCGGCGTCGCAAACCTATGACCACATTATGGCGGAGAGACGGCGGCGGGAGCAGCTCAGCCAGCTATTTATTTCCCTTGTAGCTCTTGTTCCAGGCCTTAAAAAGGTACTTTAATTTAAACAAAATTTTATATTTTATCGCGTAAATAAGTAGTTTTTTATTATTATTATTTTGGTCTTTTATACTATATATATCTACGAAAAATTTCATGCATTTTATGTTGATTGATTGGTTAAATTAATCAACTAAATTTAATGTCGAATTTATCAAAATCAATTAATAGGTGAGTAAAAATATTATGACATGAGAAAATTAGTTAATTAATGTGATTATCAATTAATCAAGTTTGTTTAGGGTTTTGAAAATGGATTTAAATGAACTAATTAGAGTCAAATTAAAGAGGCTAAGTGGATAATTAACTTTAAAAAGTAGCTAATTATGATTAGAAAAATTATAGAAAATAGCATGAATTTAGGAAAAATTACAAAACATCTGTATAAGTGTATTATGATTAATTATTATTATTCGGTTGAATAGTATCAATTATTTTATGATCCAATACCTTATAAAAATATTTGCTTTTTATTATATTTATAAGTACAAAATATGGTAATATATTTGTTGGTGTGAGAATTCAAATGCTATAGTATTAAAACAATGTAAGGTATATGGTCATAGGTGTTCAAACCCCCGACCCCCCCGACGCCTCGTGTCACCTGCCACACTTAGTTCTCCTAGTGTGATTTTTCTATCGGACCTGGTTTACAGGGTATTGCAATTTTTTTTTTAATCCTACAATTAATTATTGATCAATCTTTTTTTCTGTTTGTTCGATCTTTTATAAGATGGACAAAGGCTCAATTCTCGAAGATACGATCAAGTACATAAAACACCTCCAAAAAACTGTACAGAAGTTAGAAAAATTTGTCACAAAAACAACTGTAATTGTAAACAAGTCACTAGTCGTGGTGGCCGAAGACGGGACAATGTGGGATGAGCCTCGCCACCACCTCCGGCAATCTCTGTCGGAGGTGACGGCAAAAATGCGCGACAACTACATCCTCGTTAGAGTAAATTGCGAGAAACACAAAGGCATACTCGCCGGATTGCTTCGCAAGGTCGAGAGCCTTAACATGAACATCATCAACGCCAACACGATCTTGCTCGGAAATGTGGCCATGGACATTACGGTTGTCGCCAAGGTCGATGTAATAATATGATCTTGCCACCTATATTAATTGTCATTATTATTTGCTATTGTATAATTTTGGATCGATGGTTTTATTGCCGTGTGCAGTTGGAGAAGGGCTTTGTCACGACGGAAAAGGAGGTCGTGGCGATGGTGAAAGAAGTTCTCCGGCTGCCGCCACTCATAGCGGCCGGAGATTAGAAGGTAAATTGTTTATTATATACGGAAATAATTACAAGGTAAATTAAATTATATTTTCTATAATTTAATAAAAATATCATTTTTGTGCGCTTTAAATTTTGTGTTAAGACTTTAAATTTCTACACATAATTCTTCATTAATTAAAAGTCACAGGGAAAATTTCGTCGTGTGCGGCTATTTTCTTATTTGTGCCATCCCTCGTGGATATATTACATCACTAATAGGTGCAATATTTTCACGTGGGATCTCAATAGTTAAATAAATAAATTGAGATCGTGGAGGAATATTTAATTTTGCTGTGAACCCATTACATTCATATTAGCCCATTGATTTATTTTGGCCCACTTTGTATAATCAGCCCATTTAAGGCCCATTAGGTTAAGCCCATGAGTCCAATCCCAAATTCAATTCAGGATTATGTTAATTGCCAAAATATATTTCCCATCATTTATGTTAATATTTTTCACTATTAAAATATTTTCAACTAATAATTTCATCATTTAGGTTAATAGTATCTACTATTGCCAAAGTACATTTTCCATAGAAGGTTTACGTATCCATGAATATTTGATATAATGTTTTAAAAAAATATATATATTTAATATTTAAAAAAAAAAGAATATGATTTTTTTTAAAAAAAAAAGATGAATAATCTGAAAACAAGTTGAAACATAAGGTTGTGTTTAAATATGTCATATTCTTTTCCTTTTTTTTTTTCTAGTTTTATAGAATATTGAAATAGTGAAAGTTTGAATATAAAATTTAATGTAATATTTTGAATATGATTTTATTTATTTATTTATTTTATGTAATACTTCTTTTTTTAAAAAAAATAATAATTGATATTTAATGTAATCTTTTAAATTGTTGAATTGTATATTAATAATATCAAAAGTAGTTTTAATGATCATAGTATTATTATTTTTTATTTCATAATAATAATAATATTATTAGACGCATGTTGTTACATTGTAGGTGAGATTGCACGTCACGATTTGCATGGGCAGTTGTTACAACATGCAATGTATATGCTAATATATATATATATATATGGATAATGGAATTACATCATCAAATATTTTCGCATGCAATGTTTGTGCATGATCACTTATCACTGTCACAACACACCCCATTCAAATGGGTTATTTGTAGTTTTATAGTATGATAGAAAATAATACTCGGTCCGTCCCAAAATTATAGTGTATGTTATGTTTAGCACGAGATTTAAAGAATATTGATATTGATAGTGGGTAAAAAGTATGTATAAAAGACTTTTTTGCCCTTATAAGTGTATTAGTATAAAAAGTATTGTCAATTGTGTAATAATAATGAAAAAATAAGGATAATTTTATAGTGATATGATTATTTATGGAAATGAGACTATTGTTTTGGGACGGACAAAAATGGTAAACAATACTATAGTATTGGAACAGAGGGAGTAGTAATTTTTATTGGTTAATGTAAGTGTGTAAAATAATTTTGATATTTTTGTCCTCTATACTTGATGAATATCAGTAATTGTATTTTTGTAATTTATGTAAAATTAAATACTTCCTCCGTCTCGAATTAATTAAGTCTTTTGAAGTTTTGTAATAGATTAAAAAATAATATTATTTTAATATTTAGTAGAAGTGTATAAGAGTTTTTTTATATTTATTCTTTGACTTTATATATAAATTAATTATATATGTAATGATATGTTTGCAATTTAAGTAAAAATTAAAAGTATTTTACTATTAGTTTATGATTATTTTTTTTCTAAAAACAAGAAAACATATTTTGTTGAAGTGGAACAAACAAAAAATTGTAATAAATGATATTTTGAATTGAAACATGTTGGATGGATGCTGAATGACCATCTTACCTAAAAGTTCGAACGGTTAGGGAATACTGTTAGAAAAACACAGTCATTAATCATATATTCATAAACGGGAGTCCCAAGTAGAAGATATAGAGTATATTTTAGTATAATGCACAGTTATTCTTACTTCAGCTATATTTATTTTTATTTTTATTTTTATTTCAGTTATAAATGCATAATAAAAATCGATAGCATACGATAATAATTCACACAATACATATTATTTTTATTTCGATTATTTGATGAAAAATTATTGCTTACGTGGTTATTTCTAAAAGCCTATGATATAAATTATGTACTATATAATCACTATTAGCATTTCTTAATGTAATCTATTTAAATTTTAAATAGGAATTGGAGTTAGGTTAGTGTGATTAAATAAATAAATAATTAATATTTAATTGAGAGAAGAGAGACAACACAGGACAATCACAATCACAATATGTAACGTAACAGCAATCCATTATATCATTAATTATCAAATTATCATCATTCATCCCTCCCGCCAAAGCATTAAATGCACTGCCCATGTGTTGGGTGTGTTTGGTTGTGTTATTAATTTCATTTTTATTTTACCTTAATATCTAGATATATTTAATTAAAAATATTAAATTGTACTTGAAATATTTTTGAAAAATTATACACTTTAATAAAAATATATGTAACATAAGTACTGATATCTCCAACTTGTGAACATATGATATAATATAAAATGGAAAAAGGAGGTTTTTCAGATTTAAGGTGTATATTTTTTATTAAAATATATTTTTAAAATATTTCAATAAATATATTAAAATTTTTGAATCACATATCATAAATTAAATAAATTACTGCTAACATACTAATTGTGATTGTTCAAATTGCGTTTTTAACATAATAATTCTTTATAAGTATTATTAAAAAAATATATTATATACATATATTTGATACTCCATCCGTCTCATTAAAAGGGTAACGTTTGCTTTTTGCACGTAAATTTTTTAATATTAATATTATATTGAATTGTAGTAAAAAAAGATAACAATATTCCTATTAGTATGGTGTAATATAAAAGTAATGGTATTTGTATAATATATTATAAGTTATTTATTATGTTAAGTAGGTAATACAATTACTAAAAATAAAAAATTGTAACATTGTTTTGGAATAGACAAAAATAAAAAATTATAAATTTTGAATGGAACTAAGATAGTACAATATTTGCAATACATACATTTAATAAATTTATAAAAAAAATTTAATATAAAATATTATTTTTATATTATCGCATCATTTTTGCATTTAATATATTAAAAAAAATATATTACAAACACACAGTGAACACGCCTATAAAAATAAATAAATAGATAATGTGCATGCTGCTATAATTGACAAAATTTCCTTTGCCGTTTCATGGAATAGCAAAATTAAAAAAGAGGGGCAAATTAGGGATTTTAAGTCTAGGCAAGAGGGGTACCAAATGATATTTTCCCGGCAAAAACGACTATAGCGTCGCTTTCCTAGGGCAGGCCTTGGTCCTTTTTGTAACAAACCTGAGGGCTATTACGTCATTTCACAGTGTGGGTTAAGTGACTATCAGCGGTGTCTGTGTGTGTCGCCCCACTAAAGTGTTGTCAGAAGGATGGATGTATTGCCGCTACGACGTCGTCATCACTGTCTAATTACTATTAGTAATTAATGATAATTAAAACAAGAGTAATCATCATTAATGCAGGTGAACTAAGAATAGTTAACGGTCAAAGCGTAACCAACATATCGCACGCTCTCCTGCCACCTCACTTTAACCTTTTTATAATTAAAATTAAAAAGCAAAGTTTATGCTTGCTTACTTATTTTTTTAAATAATACTATATATATTTATATATTTGTATTATTTGAGTGCATATTGGCTAATCAAATACAGTAATTTACAAATTACACAAGTTAGGTAAATCACATTAAACAAATTTCACGTGACATGCTACACTAAGAAATAACGTTTTTCTTAAAAAAATATTTATATAGGTTTCCGTTTAGTTTTGGTATGAAATTAAATATTAAATAATAATTTAAATTTAAATAATATTTAATATGATATTTTGTAAATAAAAATAATATATATATATGTAAATTATATTAATAAATAAAAGTTTGTTCAATTTTAAACCTAATCAAACTAAACTGATTTAGGATCTGTTTATTTAGATCAATTTTATCAAATTTTACTGTTTTTTTAAATATATATATATTTTTTTCTTTTGTATGAAAATATTTTATCAAATATTATTTTAATACTAAATTTAAATGAAATTTCTTCACACTCAACAAAAACGATCACACCCCTTGGTTCAATTGTTTGATTTTAAAAAACTTTTGTATCGATTTCAATATTTACCAATTCAAAACGAATTAAAATTTAAAGTTCGGGTTTAGGGTTTCGGGAGTCACGTGCACCCCATCCGGATTGTATTTATTTATTTTTATATATTATAGATGTCCAAACAACCCCTTAAATCAAATCCCGGAAAACGACAAAATAAAAAAGGAAGCAGAGTACGAAAATTTCGCTCACACTTTTTCTTCCCCACTCTGCTTTTCACCTCACGCCGCTCACCTGCCTCTCCCTTTTCCATTTCTCCTCGCCGGTGCCGATTCGCTGCTCGGAATGCGTTTCCTCTTGCTATTCCTCCTCCTCCGCCTCTCCGCCGCCGCAAGGCCGCCGCGGATGTCGGAACAAGGCGCCTTGTTGGCCATTAAGGCAGCAGTCACCGACGACCCGCAATCTGCACTTGCTTCGTGGAACGAGACCACCGGCCATTGCACCTGGAAGGGAGTCACGTGCACTCCGTCCGGCGGTCACGTGATAGCGCTGGATATCTCGAACCTTAGTCTCGCCGGCGTCCTTTCGCCGGAAGTCGGCCATCTCCGGTTCCTTGTTAACCTCTCTGTTGCGGAGAATTTGTTTTCTGGCCCCGTCCCTCCCCAACTCTCCAACATCCCTAATCTAAGGTACCTTAATCTCTCCAACAATGTCTTCAACCTCAGTTTCCCGCCGGAGCTCTACCGCCTGAGAAACCTCCAAGTTCTCGACATTTACAACAACAATATGACCGGGGAGATTCCTTCGCGAGCGTATTTGCTCACCAATCTCCGCCACTTGCACATCGGCGGAAACTTTTTTACAGGTACAATACCGCCGGAGTTTGGCACATTTCCTTACCTAGAGTACCTAGCGGTTTCCGGTAATGAACTCAACGGCACTATTCCGCCGGAGATCGGGAATATAACTCGGCTTAAGGAGCTTTACATCGGATACTACAATACTTTCTCCGGTGGAATACCAAAGGAGATTGGGAATTTGTCGCAGTTGAAACGGTTCGACGCTGCTAATTGTGGACTCTCCGGCGAGATTCCTCCGGAGATAGGTAACCTGCAAAATCTGGACACTCTTTTTCTCCAAGTGAACGGTCTCACCGGC